TTTCGTATTTTTCATCTCAGAGCCACGACTTTGTGAGAAATGAAACTTTTATACTAAATGGACCGAGTGGAAATTGAGTCACCGCAAAACTGCAAGTTTCAGTCTTTAATATAACAGAACTGGGAAAAGATTTCTCATAAAATCTTCAGCTTTTAATTTAACTTAAATCCAGATAACTTAATTATGCATAAAATTAAGGAAGTTAAGATTGGATTTTCGCTGACAGGATTGCAACATCAGTTTAAATTATAATCTAAAATAAAACATATAAATCACCAAATGCAGATTTAAAGATTGGTTCTCTGAATATGTTATGTTGAATGAGGGAACAATTCAGTTCTGTTGAAAAAATATACTCTGGGGGATTTCCGCCGGGCGGAATTTCGTGGGTGATCTTCGAAGGGCCCTATCCCCTGCTTTACGAGCGTTGCCATAGGCGACGTGGTGTATCTTTATATAGATTCATTGTGCTCATATGAAACACAAATTTACAATACACGCTTCAATGGGCATTATCTATTTTAATGCAATTCTCCATTCTGTTGACATAATTTGGGGCCAATTCAGATTTATATTCAGCTGCAAATGGAACTATTTACAAGTAATAATATTAATAAAAATACAGGGAGGTTACCTTATTACAATTGTTACTTTTAGTTTGCTTTTAGTAGTGTTGTGATCCGTTGTCATACAATACATAGCGTATATCAAAAACTAAAACACTGATTTCTTTTAAGTGTTATAATTAAGTTAAACAAATGTGTGGAATGCAATATATAACGTTCTGTTTCTGTACTGTAGTACAAATATATATAGTACATATATAAGTGTCGTTGTGTTAATGCAACGTTAATTTTATACTATAAACCAAAAAGAAGTTAATAACATTTAAAGTGCTCGGCGTAGCGTGCCTCGAGTCGTAAATCTTGTAAAAATTTAACCTTTACCTGTAGACAAGTTTTATAGCAATGAGACTATGGGAATAAGTTTCATGTCGGAATCTACAAGTATAATGCGCCAGCGCCGGCCGACCATAATATTTTTCAAAAGATCGCTATGAATTATTTATTTCTCACGTAGACACCATTACAATTATTTCTTTTCTTGAAGGTAACAACTCGTGAATAGTAAGTACTCGACTGTTTAACTCGCTTATAGAAGGCGTTCGACAAAAACACGTTTCCAACCCGAAGAATGAAGTTTGTCTGCAAATATTTACTATAAATAGTTTTACATCGAGACGTCGAACACTTGAAATGCTCTTTGATATTCTCATGTAATGCTCTTGCTAGTAAAAATATATGAGCAAAGTAATTAACGCAAATACTTTACCATATTAAGTAGATATATTTTTGTACTTATTTCATACATGTTATAACGTTTCATCAATCCTAATATGTATTAACGGTTCAAAGATGCAATTTATTTTTGGAACAATTATAAATTGCATACAATTAAACTTACGTCATTCAGTCGAAAGAGGTAAACACTAAGAGTTGAATGACCCGCTTTCAACTTGACACATTTTTGGTCGGCCCAATTGTAGGGATCAGCGACCTGAGACGGCTTGCGCAACGGGAACAGGCTGAGTAGGGCTCTGGGACAAGGATGTTACCGAAATGAACTGATCGAACCATTTACATATTAAATTAAATGATATTACCGTTAACAAGGAAGTTTATAACGTAAGTTGAACACAATAAGTAACGCTATGACATACAGATTATACATGTATGATAAAGTTTTTTCTTTGAATATTTATAAGCATTAACAGTTTCGGGATTTATTTACTGCACGTCATTATGGATATTTAATTATAAACTCATCCGTATCATCTTAATCTATTTTAAGAGAACGACAATAAATAGAATGTTAATGTGTAGTCTTCAGCGTATATAAGTATTGTAATTAAAATTATCACTGAGCGTTTGAGGCGAGAGATAAAAAGGAATTCCTTGAGAACAAATGTACAGCTGACATTAAAGTACTATTAAAAGGAATGCATCGTGTGTATCGAGCGGTAGAAAATCTGAGGCCTCATTCCATTAGGAATACTGTCCCTTTTGTGAAATGCTTGCGTCACAAAGGGATGCAATAAAAAATGCAGGTAGGGGCCCGAGCAACGACCCCAGGGTTTTTGAGTGACGTCATAGCTTAGGCGTATGCGCAGAATATTGTGGTTTTAGGAGAAATAAAATATTTACTCAATGTCAATATCGCAGTGACTTACAGAAGTAGACAAATGTTAATAGAACATTTTGATCGTAAGATATTTGTGGACTAAAACAAAGCTTTTTGTATTATATGATAGATGTTAAAGTTAAAACCAATACCCAAAAGTATATGAACTAAATGTAATTTTAGAGTCACATTTAAATTTAACTGTTAATTAATAAAATATGCCGACAATTTCCTCCCCGTGGATCCCTTCGGCCTAACAGGATAAAGGTATTTGAAGGTTCGTTTTTTGCTTCTTGGAAGTGTATCTATACAATTTGCACCATCCTAGTGTCAATGACCTGGTGGCAGCTGTACAACTATTGTGGCAAGTGCAAGATGGGTTAGTAAAGAAACTATTCCGGTACAGTGTTATACACGATCCGGAACAAAACAGCCGTGGATAATAACAACGTTATTATTCTTTAAAGATACGCACAATAATAATAAACTTGTCACACGAGCTATTAATACGTTATGATTCAGGAATCCCAAAATATAAAGCTCGTATGGAATTAGTATAGAAATTAGAGGCGTTGAAGTGGCTGGCAATAGAATTTAACGTTACACAATAAAATCGAGGGCATAGGTCATGAGGATGCATAAATTAAGAAGACGATAGCGACTTGGCTCCACAAACCTACAACAGCTGTAGACGGAACGCCATAGAACAAACACATGCTCGCACCCCTACATCGCACACACACGAATGACACGTAGACACAATGTAAACACACGCAGGTTTATGTATACCACATGCCCCTATAAAGAGAGACGGACATAAATATTGTACGTGTTAGAAAAAGAAAGCAACACAGCGTTCGGTTTGACAACGTGCAGAGAACTCTAATTAACGTAGCTGAGGTCTCGTAAAATAAAAGGATGTAGGCAACGCTGAAGCCTGGAACGATACAGAAACATAAAACGCAGTCCTTACAGAGGCAGCTGTTAAAATACACGGTCAAGAAGACTATTTGATAACATCCATTACGGAGCGGTTACATAGAGTAAAAGAAAAATAAACATCGAGCGAGGCCGTTGTTAATTAACATAGAGATAGTTTAATAAAGGACAGGAAGCAGGCAGCGAGGGGAGTAGGCAATGAAGCGGTAAATATAGAAGCGGGGGCGACAGCCAGGAATCGATCCCACTGACATGATGCATCGTCTTGCGAATCAATAATGTATGGGAAGTCATTTAGTGCCTGCGTGGCAGTTATTACAATAAAATTATAACAAACGCAGCTTATTCAATGTTTATTATTTTATTTATACATTAATTAACAAGTTATTTTGGTTGTTATTAATTAGTATAAATGATACCAAGCTGCAACGATATGTAATTATAGTTGAGTATGTGTCATTAAACGGGTCGTCTGGCCCCTATAACATAAACTTACATTAAGATAATTAAAACCCTTGGTAAAAATTTTACAACTTTAATCTCGTAAAATATTAAACATACCTAAGTTACTAACTATATTTAATTAACATGATGAAATTTGGTCATCTGATGTGTTTTGTTTAAAGTGAAGGATTATTATTGAATATATGACATAGCGATAAAAAAAGTAAATCAATAAAACGGGTGATTGAACTCTCGATATCTGACCTTGGGTGTGAAACAATACATGATAAATATATTTTTTCAGTACACGTTTCAATGTTAAAGACGCTTAAGATAAGAAAAAGTACAAAGAGAAACATGTACGAGTATGTTAGACGCGATTAGTGTTAATATTTCGATTCACGTAGCGAAGTTGGAAAGTAACGCGGAAGTATATAAGTATGCGGGACGCAGCTGACTTTATTATTACTCCCGGTTATTTTGGTCTGGATTTCACAAGTACGTCTCCATTGGGGCAGGTCAGGCCCAGGCACAGACATTCAACAAGCCCTAAGTGATGGGGGAGCGTATATAGGTCATGGAGGGAACCGCGTCTGCGGTGCGGAAAGCAATTTTTGTTTTAGAGTGCTCCATGGCGTAACAAGTACGATGTACGAACTTTATCAGCGACGCGAAAAACATTGCGGCAGGTCGCGGTTAACGCCCTTTATCGTACCATCAACATGATATTATTTAATTATTAGTTTTACTACGTGAATGTGAAAGGCAATGTTTGCGTGTTCATATTCTAACCGACATCTCGGGTTTCAAAAAAGGTGTGTTTTCTTATAATAAGCGCGTTCAACTCTGTGGGAACCCTGCAGGGGCTCACCGCAGCCGCAACGCTGAGATCACTCAAGCAAAACCAAGTCTAGACACTACCTATATGTATCAACACTCAAAGTGCATACAACCGAAACTCTCTCTTACTTTCGTTTACTTGCCACTACTTTAATAATTCCTGCAAATCCCTTGTAAGATGTAATATTTATGAAGACAGGTAATGCGTTCCCAAGCATTCCACGTTTCTCAGCAGGCGGTCGAGCTAATGGTTTGTGGTAATCAAATATTTATGTACTAAATTTTTGAGTCGTCGTAATTTTTATTGAAATCGAACCCGTCTTATTTTTATTGTGTTATAAAATATCAAATTGATAAAACATAATAAATGTATTGATTGGATCCTGTTAATATACCTAAGGTATGTTAGTGGAGAGTAGTGAGTCGGTACAACTCTAGATATAAGTCAATGAGTTAGTGAGGAAGCCTTTGTTTGTGCAGACGGGCGGTGTAAACGGCCGGCACAAAGGCGTTCGGACGAGGCGCCCTTCAACCGGCGGAGGCCTTGGCTGCATTTAGACGCGGTTCGACAAACTCTACGCCATTCGTTTTACTTTTCATCTTGTATCCCGAGCTTTTATTGCATTGCAGCAGCGGAATGCCGCTAACAGTATGCGAGATGGCCACGTCCTAGCCCGACCTGGGTCAGCTATGTCACCTACGTCGAATAGATTCGGACTACCAGCAGAGGTCGACGACCTGGAAGACCTTGGCCGATTTTAAACACAAGTTCGTCGATCGCTTGAATCACTGGATCGTTTTATAACTTTCCAGCTCAACAATAAACTTTATGGGTGAACTTGTTTCCTTACGACCCGTTTTTATAAACACACGGACCAGATGGTACATAAATGTTATTGAAAGCCATGAAAAATATTTGGAGAAAGCCTGTAACGGTGCTGACGTTGTTGCCCATACATTTTACAGGGCCGTAAAACCCAATTTAGACATTTCGCAGGGGAGGTGGGCGCCGTGAATAATACCACTGGTGTGAATACCAGGACTGCATCATTACGAGTATATGTACTAATACAAGCGAAATTTAAATATAAGCGAACTTCCTTGCACTAACTTGGACACGAAACTGTTGTCCGGGTAGACCTTGGCCGAATTTAGACGGGGTTAATGAACTGTTTTCTCCCGGCGCGCGCTATGAAACTGCATTTTACATCCCGACATCACTAAATAGATAAGCTTTTGTTTTTTACAGTTCATAGCCCAAGCGATTATATGTGATTTTATTAATTTATTTTCAATAAGTCGATATTATGTAGTTATAAGGTTTCAATGTTCTAATATATAATTTAAAAAATAAACACAAATTAAGATTTATTTCGATAGCTCGATATTTTTTGACATTGATAAACTCATACTTATAATTTTTAAGTAAGAAAAAAAACTTATATCTAGGAACTGAAAGATCTTTACATAATTTAAGTTCTAATATCAGTTCTGCTTACGATGTGTTTACATAATATAAAATTTAACATATATAAAATTAAGAAATATTTTATCGATTTTACATAGAGAGAAGCTACTTCCACAGCGATGAAACCTTATCACTTAAGTCTATGTTCTTCATAGTATACGTAGTAATTATTGTAAATGTAATTAATACCATCAATATCTAATATTTCGTGTATAGCCGAATGAACATATGTCAGACACCAATATCTTCTGTAAGTCAACACAACTAGCTCAAGTGTTTGAACATATCGAGTGTGACTTACTCGCTTCTGTAAACAGACCTTCGTTACAGTATATTATTACATATATACCACCTAAATAACCATATACAAATATATTATACAGGGTGACTGGTGAATTACTATCGATATTTGAGGACGTGATATTTGACGATCATATATGACAAAATAAAAATTAATATAACATAAATATTAATAAACTTCTAAGTAAAGTTAACCAAAAGTTATGTAATTAATTACGCATCGTATGAACACCCTACAGATTAGGTATACACACACACTCACACAGACGCGGCGGCGGCGTAGTGTTGTATCAGCACGCCACCGCACGCGTCCACACTTGGAACACTTGGAACGTGTACACACTTTATTTATTTATACGGAAATTTGTTCAAAAATTAAGTACCTATTTTTTTTACATAATTCGAATGAGAATCATGTACTGAGTATGCTCCTTAAATATTGATAGTAATTCACCAGTCACCCTGTATATATAGAAAAATTGTTAGGAATCTTACAGAGATAAAATAATAATATATGCCTAATTATTCTAAGAAGAATTTGACCTATGGCGTTGTCGTAAATTTGCGACTTGTAAGACGTTACATTTAAAATGTAAAAAGCTTCAAGTGCTGATAGTTGATAGGAGAGCAAACTAATTGTTGACTTTAGATATTCATATTTACTTTACTGAGTGGCCTAACCTTGGAGAGGATCTTACAAACCGATTGATAGGGAAACGAGGTTTTCGCAAATTCGGTTTCTCGAGTGATATGTAAATATAGTTTAACATATTCGTATGTAGTTTTTGATGATATAATTTTTATTCCGAGAAGATTTCAAATAATAATAATGCTACCTTACCCATGGATTTAAATTTTACTGTATATAATGTAATTGTACGAATATTTAAGCACGTCTTTAAGTACAATTATGTATTAACAAAAAATGCCTTTCCTCTAAATAGTCACCAAATTAATGTACCATTAATTCGATTATTGTTTAAGTCTCCAGGTAATGTCAAGGATATATAACCAGTTGGTTTACCTTGAGGCTATGGCTGACTTAATGTTACAACTATACACCGATATTAATCAATTTGTTCAACCATAATATATTTTAATGACATTTGATCATTAACTATGTACACACATATTAAAGCTATTATACACGTGTGAAAATCTGTATCATGATTCGATTATGTGTTACTTGTCCGGTTTTTGACCACGTCGTGTTAATTCCCATAGAAATGGAAGAAACATTAAGCTTAACTGTCCTTCTAAGTGCTTTAACGTAGATTTTTAATGTGCCATAAAATGATTCATATAATACTTTGTAACTCAACCTAACAACACACATTATAAAAATAATAACATAAAATATAAATCAAATTCGTATTATTCTAGATATTTCAGAATTGAAATAATAATTCTAGAAACAAAATACTTTGTCGATATAGAATTCTAAGAATTCTGAAATAATAGTATAAATTATAAGAAAACAAATAATAATTTATTTACTGAAATAGTATCTAGAGATACAATTTATAATTTCAATAACAGATCAACAATAAATCAACATTTATTAACATAAAAGATAATTCAACTATTTTTTATATTTTTATATTAATAAGAATTTAATACAACCTTATTCTAACTTAACATTATGAAACAGCCATGACAATTTGACAGTCATAGCATTTAGGAAGGATTTATCTTTATGTCTAATGACTAGATAATTACACTTTTATTAATAAATTTCTATGTTTATATAAAATTTTTAATAATAATAATTTAAGGTGTTCTAAGAAGATAATGTTCAAAATCTGTCATATTACGTTTATTAGAAAATATATAAGCATAAAGTATAATTCAAAAAAATGTTATGAAAATGTATAAAATATAACAAAAGCAGTCAAAAAATTTCACGTCTAACTTCCAAGTTCGTCATTCTTATAACATTAAACTTATATTGACACGTATAAGAGGAATCATTGAATTGTTTCATGACCGATGAAATGTCTCTTTCATTCGCTGATTCGCTAATTACTCAATACTGTTCGAAGACGATACAAATTGCAACAATTCCTTCAATTAAAGATCGACGGATAGCGTCCGAGTATAATTTATAAACGATGAACGACACTGTGGCATTAAGAATGCGGTGAGATCATTCTCTTGTACACTTAAAACGAGATTTGCATAACTAAACTATTATAACTTCAAGATTATCTGTTATCCTACAGCCTCACTTTGTACTCCCTCCTGGTACGTAGCAATACTTTATATACTCATCTATTTCTTAAAAATATACACTAAATGGTAGATCGTTAGAAATAAAAAAATTGTGTTTGGAATATAGTTTTGTTATAAACAAGATTTCATTTAATTTTAAGTATGTAACTTCTTTAGTTATTTGAAATAAATATATTGTTTTGATACTTTATAATGTACATGACAGTCAGCGACATCTGTTGAAGTTTGTCACTAAACTACTTTACTCTGTAGTGAATTGCGTGAGTGAATCATTAATTAATTGTAATAATTACTTTATTATTAAATGAAAGGAAAAACGCAACGAATTAGTTCTACTGTTGCACATAATTATTGTTATTTTATATAAGTTTTATTAATAAAAAGTTCTCATTGGTTCTAATCTAAAATTTATGTGTAAAATATAATTCTATAATAACGCCGATTATATATATCTAGAGTCTATTTAAATTCATACTTTAAAAATCATTAACCTGAATGACCTTTGAAACGTTTGCATAAAATGGATGAAATTAACATAACAATTATGATGTCGAACCGTTATACATCCAATAATTTTTTAAACCTTAAAATTTCAAACAAAACAACGTTAATTTTGTATAAAATGAAGCTATGACGTACTTCACGGAGTTCAATGCGGCACGATTTCCACTGTTGTGTCAGAATGAACTCAAGTGCCTCAGTCAAGAACGTTCGTTTACCGCGCGCCGTTCATAACATGCACTAGTAGTACCATCTAGCGGTCAATGTCGAGACGACGTATTATCGCGATCAAGTTTCGACAACTCGTAACAGATGGCGCTGGGCACTCCGTCAGAGTATAGAAAGTAGTAATATGGAGGTTACACGATATTATGCTGCAAAATGTCTAACCTAATTAAAAAATCCAAACAGTTTTCGTCAGCGTCTTTTATGTAAATTTGTTTTTCAGATCTTATATTTATTTTATGTCAATGCAAACATCAGCTACATAAATGTAACTATATCGCGTTTGTATTTATAAGATTACACGTCATCAAAAAGTAAAATATATCTTTAATTAATATGCAACTAAAAATAGATTTAAAACAATGATGCCAGTCGTCGATTTTATACGTCACAGTTTGATAATGAGATCAGACAGTCAAATGTTAGACAAGAGTTTAATGACTGCCAGGTCTGTTGGAAGTCCGCGTGGTTTAAATTAGCACCATTTGAAAATGATCTCATCGGGCCATTAGTCATTGGCCGTCATGTAAACTGGCCTAATGAAATTCGATGCGTACAATAACTACATATGCTACTCGGCAGCATTCCGTTATTGCATTTTAGACTTAAAGACTTCGTAATAAGCATTTCTGTTGAGTTTTAGAACGTTAATATGTAGGAGTTAATGGTTTAACTGACGGCTACTTAAACTTATGTACTTTAAATGTACTGCGTGTTAGTTTATTATTTTTACTCCCACAACGAAAACTGAACATCGAAGATGACTTTCTTTTTAATGTCATTATAACTATACTTAAATCTATAACCAATAAAGTAAAAACATTGTTTTATCATACGAAAATTATTCTTAATTTTATATATTGCCTGTTTAATAATGTTTTTAATTGCAATGTAGAATGCACGTTACTTGTATTGCTTTAATCCGTGCCATAAAAAGGCGATGTCAAATGTCGAGTACGAGGGTGGGTCTGGCTATTGTTTTGATGTACCACGCCTTTTGGCGGCTGACTGGCACAATTGCATGTAGTATGAAATATATATTTTTATATATACATATTAAGTTTATTACACTAAATAATCCACTTCGGTTTATTATCCCTCTAATATTGCAATTAAAACTGTTTAATTTGTTTGTAATACAAGTGTATGTATAATTTGATTGGATTTTACGTAATTTAACACTTAGACTAACGGCTTCCGAATTTATTGATATTTTAGTATGATTTTACCGCGGCTTCTCTCGATGAAGTTACATATTTTGTTTACTGTTCGCTTTAAAGATTTCTAAACATTTAAATAAAAACCTCACAAAAACTACACATTCATAACTACATACTATGAGCATAGATGTAGCAGTTTATAAATAATTCATAAACTAAGATTTAAAAAGACTTTATCTTATTCGTCTATCATTGGAAATATCTTATGTATATCATATCTACACAGACAGACATATGTAATACATCGTTACGAGACATTGTAAAACGAGTCTGAGTTGTATATAAAGAAAGGAAAACGTAAGTACACTAAGTAAAACCAACATTTAACGGGCGTGTTTGTAACCGCGACACTTTCTAATGTAATAAATATATGCTTTCCATGTTGTGGTTGTGAATAAATGTGTTTCCTATATTGGTTAATATTATTTTTAGAGAATTCCTCCATAAGGAAATGTTGACATATAAGGTTCTATATTTAGAAATTGTTTTTTTTTATTGTCCTTTCAACACGCTTACCTCTTAGTTACAAGGACTCGACTGTATGAAGGTTGCTTACCTGAAATAAATAAATTTTATTAGTGTTTTATATTTTTCTAGTAGTCTAAGCAGTATTATACAAGGTCCTTGATAAACTAGCTGTAATTTGCTTGTTGCTATCAAAGATCTAACGCTGAAACTAACGTATAATGATTTTCTTCTTATCAGATTCACTTCGACCCTAGTTACGAAGGTCAAACCGGCAGCCGATTCATACTACTAGAGATATTGAAAATTTCATATAAAATCTTTATATTTTAACCTTAATAGAAGACAAGTTTAAAAAGCCTTTTAACTGGGATCATTAACGCTGTTTTAACGGACAGTTAAATATCTATTGTGAGAACTCGCTGTATAGCTTTTATGGCAAGCCGCGATTAATCCACTGGGATCTGAGATACTTTCCGCATTCATAAAAGATTTTAGTACGTACCAAGAATTAATATACATTTTTTTTTTCTTTAAATCAACCAAAGTTTTTGGACTAACTGCAAGTGTATTGTTAATGTAATGATAGGTCATAATAAAATGGTTTTCATTTAAATTTAGGTTGAAAACTTAAACATAGCATAGTAATTTATTACGTCAGAATAACCAGGAGTTGCAGGCGGGCGGGCGCCCTTGAATACATATCAGCTCATGTGTATGTATGTGCATAGTGAAAGCATCGATGTTTATCTCGATACTTCCATCGATATCGATTTCACAATACCGAATAATTTATCGATACCCATATACAAAATCCGACTTGCTAATACAAAATCACGATTTACTTTTCTAACATTTCATTTAAATGTATCGATATTTGTCAATCACTAGCCCCACATCCAAGAACTTATCTTTAATTTCGAAATCGTATTCATTTAAGGCGAATTCTTTGAAATAGCTGTAAAAAACATTCGCTCGAAAACATATGTATGTACAGCAATGTTAATTTAAATTTTATATTGAAGCAGTTCTAAATTTAAATTCTCAAAAATTTAAAAGCGTCGTAAAGAAAAATGATTTATGGATATTTTCAAAAATAATATGTTTGCACGTTTGTTATTATCACAAATTTTAAATATGCACGAAAACGCTTACATGAAATCAAAAATAAAATTTTAAAACGCTCCCACACTTACAGATTCTGGCGCGGAGTCTACGTCTCTGAAATTTGACGCCGCGTAAATAAATCTGGTTATAAGAAAATATAGGACAACTTGTAATGGACCACGGATTTAGAACAAACAGATTACTAGACATCTAAACGAATAAATCGGATTTTTTTTCAAAATTGCATACCAAATGACGTAGTTAAGCACGTATGTATATGCAGAATATTGAAATAAGTTTTATTTCTACCACAATTTCATTGTTAGTACTATTCATGACCAAATCACAGTTATAAAATGTAATATATAAGCATTACATAATAATAATATTACCTGAAAGTAACGTAGAGTCCATCCTTGAACTCGTGGTAATATAATATTCGCTACAAACGATTACATAATTCATTAAGCAATAACCGCTTTTTGAATTCTTCCACCGACTGGTTCTGACATATTAATAACAACTTCAACCTGAAACTAGCTGAACCACGCCTACTGTTCTGGCTTCTTAACCGACTTCGTATAAAGAGTATTCTTATAACATATGCATGCATTGATTTAATTTAATGAAAATACCAAACGAAAATATCTTCAAAATTCTCCTAACTCCGTATTGATTCCAAATTCAAAATAAATTTATCGTTCTTCATGTGATTCTTTTTTTAATTCGAATACATAAAAAGGCAAAGGTTAACAGCATACAGCTTGATGTAAAAGAAACATTGTTACACAATTGTTATTAATATATATATAACCTTCAATTAAAAGTCTATAACCCTATCGTGGCTGTAAATGGGCCGCTCAATCCATCCAGCCATGACCTACCCCACGACCCACTTATTTCAGCCGACACGGTTTCAGAGTTTCGCAGGATTTTGTATTAACAATATCAACTCGAATTAAACGTTTACATTTTTTTAATTAAAACAACTCTTATAAGTGTTGTTTTATTACGTTTTTTCTTAATCGTTAAATTGTTAATTTTTAATAGGACGTTTTGTTTCGCATTAGTTAGAGATAAAAGATTTTAATGTTTTGTAATCACATTTAAAAAGGTGATATTTAATACAAGCTACATAAGGTTTAATTTAACGGTCAGACCGTAAGTGTTGGTGTAAATCATATTTATGGGCTATTTGTTAAAATGTATAATGACATTGTAATAATAATGATATTTTCGTTTCGAGACCTTAATATTAAGTTACATGGAACGGATTTCTTTGTACAAAATGTTGGAAAAAATATAGGGTGTTCAAATTAAATACTAGTACTTCAAAGTAACAGAAGAAAAATAATCTAAGTTAAAGTAAATCTTCAAGCACAAATTAATTCAACTTTATATTCAGAAACATTATTTACTTGTCGAAAACAATTGCCAAATAACTGTGAAGCGAAATAGATTTTATATAAGTTTAGGCGTGTTTTCAGTCCGTGAGATCTGTCGAATTGTTTAAGATTGTTAGATTTAACATTTAACTTTAATATTATTTTGTTAGTTTAATGATGGAATTAATTATATTAATATTTTTATTTGTTATAGATATAAATAAAAGGAAATTAAAGAGGGTTGATGTCAGGCAGGCGGCCGGTTAGAAACAATTAGCCAAAACTATTCACAACATGTAAGGTAAATCCTGGCTAAAGCTGGGAAATTGCCAGGAAGAAGAAGATAAGTTAAAAGGAAATTATACATATGATATAATGAATATTTAGTAATCATACAACTCAAATAATTCGACAATCTATTGCAATATCAAAACTTGAACTAACGTTTAAATGATCTTAGATCTTATTATTGAACTAACATGAGTAACAACACATAATAAGTACATATTTTCGATTTCATTGTACAATGGAGTAGGAAAATGATTAGCAACTCCAAGATTTCATTATTTAAAACTTAGGTATTAAGAATAATTAAAACTCCACTTCCCTATATATATATTTTCTATATACTTTTATTTGATTGATCTATCCTTACGGTTTTGTGTATCAAATGAATAAAATGACTAACAAAGCTATCTGTCAAATACATTATTTGCGTTCATCAACTGACGCTTCCGCTGCTACGGCTTTGAAATATTTATACATTAGTTATTTTTATTATTATTTTTTCATATAACTCTTTGTTCCACTCAGCCATGATTTATTCTAAACTAGATGCTCCGATAATAATTTTAAACACGAAAGCCTTGAATGAGGTTAAAGTAGGTAATAAATTATGAATCAAATGTACAATTTAAGATCGTCCATTATAAGCGTCGTTTATTAAAGATGAATATATATTTTCGTTATTATATTTAGATTTATAGTAATATGTAATTTCCTTATTTATTATCTATGACAGTTTTCCTTCTTGTTTTTTATTGGCACAACATAAACACAGCGACAACTTCAAGTAAAAAAAAAACTATGTTTAATTTTTTTTTAAAGTCCAAGTGAGTACACCACATAGTCATAGACAATGTAATGCATTTCAACACAAGGTCACACGCATACAGCCATCTAGGTATCTGTATTGTTCTGAATGCAAATCACAAAGATTTTTATTTCTTAAACTTTTTATAATGCAAATTAACGCGGGCTATCTTGTTGTATTGTTTACAAACAATACAACGGACAATAATAAACTCTATTGCACAGATAACATATCTATATATATACTCTGTTAAAAAAAATACCGATATAAAGGGATAAAATAATAAATGAAGCATATATATTTGAAAAAAGAACACAGTTAGATTCAATAAGAAATTAAAAAAAAAAATTAACATTTGTTCGTCTAGTTACCTAGTATGAATTTTGATATAAGAAGAATTCTTTTTATAAAGATTAAGATAAAAAGTCTTCACTTGAAGATCATTCTTGATAACATTAGCGACCTTCTTACAGGGGCCTAATCAGTACTAACGAGTCGGAGATTAGGGATTGCAGACCACAGCAAGAACGGGGTTCACACGGGGTCAATCACACGATAAGGCTGGCCTTGGCCCCCGCACACACAGACAATGGCTTATGGAAAGTATTAAGCTGGAAACAAATCTATTTATTCATTTGAATTTGTGAATTGTTTTGTATTAGCTATACTTCAATTTTTAATTTTATATATTTATTTGTTTAAGTCTTTTCCCACAAAGAGTTGATGTCAGGCAAGCGACCGATCCGTAAAAATAATTAGCCAAAACTATTTACATCATGTAAAGCAGACCCTGGCTAAAGCTGGGAAATTGCCAGGTAGAAGAAGATTTGTTTAAGTCTTTTGATTATCTATAGTTCCTAAACCATGAGTAAAATTTTGTTGCGGTTGCAATTTGAATACGTCATTGAAAATGTGCAATCTTAACGTATGCAAACAATAAAAATAAGGCGTCGCTCGGAACGTTTTGTAATATACATATAAATGGTTTTGGTACGTCTAAAAGAAAAGAAATGGTTCATGTAAATTATTCTTAAGATTTAGTAATATATTACAGTGAAATTTTAGATATTATCTTTCATGTAACAATTCTGTTATACATTATTTTGTTATGTATCTCAAATGATCTCGCCAGTAGTAGAAACGCCAAATAATTTTTATGATAGTGTTTGATATGTAAGCATATTATATAAACATGTATAGAGATAGCGATACTTTAATATATAAACACATTGAAAAATGTGTCTACTTCTTATATAAATATTTTAGTTCACAAAAAACATAAGAGATTTCGGATGGCCCATAGTCGTTTAATCGTGTGTCGAAAGTTGTAAAACACAAGTTCAATCTAATAAAAAGTAAAACAGCAGAAACTGTTAATTCAATTAATTATAGAAGTTTTCTTAGCTACATACATATATTCAAGATGAAGAGATAAAATAAATTCAAAAAATATAACTACGAAAAGTTTTGTAATACCTTTTTATCGCCTATACAAAAAAAAGACAATACCCTTAGCATCGTCTACATATAAAAGCTATTTACAACATAAAAGTAAGTATATATCTTAAAAAAACTAGTCATATAATAAAAATATATTATACAGTTCAATTGTATCATATTACAATATGTTCTTTATTACGTCTTTCACATAAATATCTTCTATCAAACAATATTGACAATATATTGTGTATCATTATTGTCCTTTACGTCAAATAAGTCAAAGTAATATCTCTATACGCGATATATTAACCATATATTGCATTTTACTTTTATCACATATACATATATATGACGACAAATTGATTTTGATCATATATATTGCGAAATATGTACCTAATGAATATATGACAAATTATTCCTTTCTTTTATTACGAAATAAACAGTCTATATTGAATATTTCATCATATATAATAATAATTGTATCAATTCAATATTTTAATAAGAAAACCTTTTTGAAACTATTAAAAAAAATTAAAAAAATTAAAATTTATGACTGACGTTGACATTGACGTATGGATTGACATTGACAGTTTTAAGAAAAGATATCGATGTCACCTTAAGAATATATCGGAGTTTTTTTTAAATAATTCGATAGCAACTAAAATATGTATAAATAACATTGGAAATATATTACACATAGACCTTTAAAAGTTTTCCAGACTTGAACTTATTCTATTTTATTGCTACGATCGTAATGCTTACTCGTAAATCATAATGACTTTTGGACTGTCATTCAAAATGTCATACGAGGAGACGTATAGAGCGGACATGTTGCTTTTTATTGTATGAGAATAAAAAACTTGTACATCTGGCAATCTCAGTATTGTATCAGACAAACGTAGTTAAAAAACACATCATTCTCCTTACAATTCTTAATTAAACAATTTCTCACATTATTATTTAATCTCATATATATTTATTAAAATCATTAAAACTCGTATGCGTTAAACGAGATATGTATAAAATTCTCCCGCGTCTAGAATACCTTACTTCGGGCCTTTCAAGCACAACCATAAAATGTTTAATACTCGTGCAGTTTACTCGTACCATAAAATACTTCAAGTTAAATATATTATCGTGTGCATTGTTAGATTATTGATATTTGTTTCAGTCTTAGTACGCTTACCACAAGTTTTCATCGCCACACAAAATACGAAGCATTTTTCGTTTATCATAAAATAATATATTTATTTTTGACATACATATGTATGGAATACTTTTAACGCGCCGTTTCTACTGACGATGGAAACTTTTGGTACGCACATTATTAAACGAGATCGGACATCGTATTGGTCGACCTGCATAAACTATTCAGGTATACCTTTTCATCAGACCGTAAATCTCGGTTTCGTTTTGCAATAAAATCACAAAAATAACATTTCCACCAGAAAACATATATGTATCTGGCTCATACGTTTTAATATTTTGTTAAGTGCAGTTTAAAATATCAACACTTCAATGCATTCGCCCACGCCATCCGTATGGCGGCTTTGAAAAAAACAATTTAGAATTCTTTGAATCAAATTAAATTACATTTATGTGACTTGTTAAAACGGTGTTTGTTTTGTCGTTCAGTTTAAGTGATCGGAGGCGGTCGAATGATGAGGTGTGTCCTAAATTAAGTCCGTACATGTCAGGGTCCATATAAAATTTAATATAATTCATACTAACACTCATTATATCATACTGAGGCTAAATATATTTTAATCTGACGACCCGTAGGGTAATGGGGATCAAGATAAAGACGGTGTTTTATTTCATTACAGCATCATGAAATAAATCTTAACGAGATATTAATGAGAGCTAACCGCTTTTAGTGTTGCGAATATTTTGAAGACAAGTTACTTTAATTGGTTCTCGGAAATATTTCATTATTTTTGGTATTAAATGACGCGATTTTTTATATAGCACACATCGTATAAGGTTTTAAATATATTTTTAAGTTTCGTTACAAACATTTTGAAACTTAAACCTCTGTTGTAATAGTTAATGTGGTATCTGTCTTGTAACATTCCAATGCAAATCACTGTTAATATTTATAAACAGTTGCTACGCGACTCAGTTAATTATAGTTCGGAATATTTATTTAACATTTACATTTTACCGTGTAATTTAATACTCAAGCAGTGCTTGTTTTCTCAGAGTTGTTAGCATAGAGACGCGAAACACTAACTTCGCATGTATCAGCTAATTTAAGTATAACATTCAGTAATAGAACGTTATAGACAAAAAGATTTACATAGTCTTAGAAATATATGATGAATTGTTCTTAAGTTGAGGTTCCTATGTTGGGAACATTTACATGTAGGAAAAGTAAAACTTAAGACATTTTATAATATTTAACTTATTAACGAATCATAGGTTAATTGCATTTTGATTTTAGAAAAAAAAACTATAACACCCTTGTTATCTCACGGAAAGCGAGTTCATTGCCCTCATTATCGGGTTTGGCACGATAGCCATACGGAAAAATCCTTTTAGCGCTGATAAAGCAACCAGCCAATGTAAATTGAGACTTGCTTGCGAAATAAAAGTATCAAATACCGGGTCTCCGATTCACAAGCATTGTTTTTGTTAATGCGATATAAAGATATGTCCTTGCCTGTAGTGTCATTCAGGTCGCGAGGTCGTGCGTTAAAAATAATGTTTACATTAAATAATATATTTGAAATAAGATTTGTAAAAATGAATTTGATAAAAAAATATCTCTTTGTTATTTAATAACGTAATTACGATGTTTGTGTCTTGAAAACAGAAATTAAAGCTGCCTCCGCGTCGTAGAGATGGAATGTCGAAAATGTCTATGGCTCAATGGCTCTTTGGAACGGAGATCGAGAATTGTCGGTATTACAAAAGAATTTTTTTTAATAACTCCATCAAGTTCAAATGTACTCGTGCCTTTCTAAGTATTCTTATAAATAGCGTACGGGAAAATTGTCTCCTGTATTTATTTTGTCAATCAGAGACGTCACAAAAAGCAAATTTGTTTTTAAATGATAATATTTGTATTGATTTAAAGTTTAATGACCCGATGTTAGCCAAATAACCTACAGAACGAACAGCAAGTCACACATTTGTTACAACTAGTAAATATTAAGATATAAATTAATACGAAATTTTAAGATAAACTTAATTAGTATTAATAGAACAGAGAAAAGGATTAAAATAAGCAAAAACCGACGATAAGCGGCAACATATTAAACGAAAAATAACATAATATCGGCCGAAAACCCACTGCATTAAAGACTGTATAGCGTGACTGAATGCAGTAAATTTAACGCCTGCAATTTTATAGAAGCTATGAATTTATATTAAAAAAAAATAATACGTTTATCTAATTTAAAATTATTAAAGCCAATAAAATTAGTGTTGGAACATGAAAAAAGAGAAAATGTAATCCATTAAATACAGAATTTTTTGTGCACTTAAGTTTTATATCATTATAGTGTCAAAGTTACGGCAACATTAGTGCAATCTTCAATTCAGTGATTTCAAATGATTTTATATAACAAGCGATGTTCGTTGCTATTTTGATCTTGACTTGTAATATGATCTACGTGTTTGTTAACTGTATGTGGGCCAGTCGATTTCACAGTAATAATGCAATCACGGTAGAACTGAATTCATTTGCGGTCGAATGTATAAACTCAATTAATAGATAAAATTTGGCATAATTGGATTATTTTTTATGATTTATCGTAACTTTTATACTGTCTAATGTATCTAGAAGCGGTAAATAAGGGTAGTGATACATTGTTATGTAAAGTTATGTTTATACTATATACATCACCTAGTTTTCGCTTTCCAATACGAAAACGATAATTTGAACGTGTAGGTTTTAATAGATCAGTCGCGTGATCATTTCGATTAATGTATTTTGTGTAAAGGTCAACGATCTCTTTAACATATTATTTCGTAATTACTATTGTTTCCATATTTATAATTGGTCTGTTCATTTATATTTAGTTTTCGGAGGACATGAATTTTATATGTAATCAGTTTTTGTTATTTATTTTTGTATATAATAATATCGCTATTGAGAAATAGAATGGGTAGGATTTTTAATTCCTTGGTATTCATATGATTTTACAGCAGTTTTTGAAGTAGGTATATGTTACCTGTTTTTAATTGGATTACAATTTTCATATATAAAATAATATTATTATTTTTCCAAATCAAAAACAAAAAGGATCAACAGTCGATAATTATGATGTGATTCAGAAGTATTTCGATATTTTAATCTCACCAAAAACGGTTGCCTCATTATGGTATAATCGTTTTCCTCCCACATCTTAAGACGCGTTGGCTTCAAAAGAAATTTAATAATCATTTGATTTATTTTGGTGATCACTCGTCCGCTCAAAACCAGAGCTTTGGGTGTTACTCAATAACTGAGAGGTATTAATTCTTTTATTGTCTTTTTTACATAGATTAATGTCTTTAAATTATTTATGCTATTGATTTTGAAATTGATTATGAATTCGTCATTTTAATAAATGACTTATACAAAGGAACGCTTGGGAATTTAGACAGAATTAAAAGTAAATTCGACGCGTCGTACAAGTACAAAGATGTAGATGTATTAAATAATAGTAAATGTTCACTTACCTATTTTTCCGTTAGGACTATAAGGTCCGTAGCTGCCTGAAGATAGTGGTGAGGAGTAGCCATTAGGTTGTGGTTGGCCAGCGGCCGGCGAGGGAGAGCCTCCGCCCGCCATCCAGTCTCTCACGTGGCCGTTGTGGCCGTTATGGCTGACTCCAGGCTCCGCCTTCACCAAGCTCTGGCTGGGTATCCCCCGATAAGCCACCTCGTGTTTCAAATCCATGCTGCTGTTACCGCATGCTGCTGCGCCGCCCTCGCCGCCCGCGCTCCACACTTCTATAACATAACAAATCACAAATGAATTGCTGATCCAATAAAAAGAACATCAGATTTGAAGTTCTATTATTCCTTAACCAAGAATTCATACAAAATATTAGAAATTTTTTGTTAAGTTTTACAATGTAATGCATACATTTTTCTAAGAATCTATCAATATATCCGTGAACTTTCGCTTTTAACGTCTATATTTCTATATAACAGCTGGATATAAAAGTAATATTTGTATATTTGATCGACGACATTTTATTGGTTTATTCATGATGTTTCCTGCGACGTGGAGCATGAATAACAGATTTCTTGTCTCGTCAATTCAGCCTTATCCTTGTTGTATTCGACGCGGTTACTCGAGCTATGAAACGTACTGTCGATTTAAACGGAATTTTAATAGACTTAGAACACAAGCGAGACGACAAAATATTATAAATAGACAAAAGCAACCAATATCATAGTCATAAACACATTTTAGTTTCTTTTCTTTGTACAGAAATATTGTTTTAAATACATTAAGTACATTTATACGTCGCTTATGTAACGTTTTTGTAGATCAGTAAGAAAGTTTTAAATTGCATTTTATATAGAATAAACGTCACTAAGAAATAGCCAAGTACAATCTAATTACCTGGAAATACGAGGTCCTTTGTAACGCATACCATCCTAGGATTACTAAGATTCTAACTTGTCGCTTTATTAAACGATTTAAAGTCTGACTTAAAAGAAACTCGTTAGAAATTCTTACAAATTAATTAAATATATAAATTTATGCAATATACTAAAACTTCTACAGATTTAAGAAAACTAATAACAACTTTAATATGTTTTTGTATGTTGAGCATTTTTATTAAGTAGCCGTTATTATATGAATAATGCATATTAAAGATCAAAAGTTTTGATGTCATTTCCCTCTAGCGTCCATGCCAAGTCATTCTGTGAGGTTACAAACAAATTAATATTCTACATGTGACAAATATAAGATAGAATGTTTAAAGTAATCACAGAAACTACAATATTGAGTGGTCATATATCCTTGGGCCATTTAACGTAAGATTAACAATATTTTGTCATGAAGTGATATACTTGCTATGTACAATAGCCATTATCTGTTAATCATCTGAAAGAGTTTCAACGTTTTCGATTCGTCAGTCATCATGTTTATAATGTACGTACGTCAAACTGTTGGTTTTAAGTTGACAATGACGTAATAAATTAAAACTCGAACTGGGTAACAGAACTCCGACAAACTTAGTGTTTAAATTCCTTTCATAACTTTAATGTAAAATCTTTATTTGTTTTGACAGCCGTGTTAGTTACACTATTTATAAGTCAAGAACGGCTGTACGGATTCGCCTGAAAATTGGTGGAGAGATAGCTTAGAACAAGGGAAAGGACATAGGACACTTTTTATCTGATTGAAAAAGAAAAAAAAACAAGTTGGTTAAATCCAAATTCTTCTCATCTACTGTTTGTAAGGAGAAATAGAATTCGCCCGGTCAGCTATACGTATCTCATTTTGAAACTGACGCAGATGTAGTCGCGGGCACAAACTAGTTATGTATTAAATTTGGTTTATTAATATAACTAAAATGTCTGTATCGCAAAGTGTGGCTGAATGTGTTTCATTTCCTACTCAAATTACAAAACTCATAAGCTATGTTCATGTACGCAAGTTGATTTCTTTCAAATTTAACAATTTGTAAAACCTCAATATCTGTGCCGTATGTATTTCACTTCAAGGTTTTTAATACTCATTGAAATGCAAACAGTATTTATCTTATACATTGGGAAGTTAAGTAGTTTTAATGGAAAAAGAATTTAAACAAAGGAATTAGATTAAATAAATTTTAAATAAATCGCTGAATACCCAAGGATATAATTAACGTTACACAAAAATACAAAAAACAAAAAACAAAAAAACCGTGCTTGCAAAGAACTCATTCATTGCAACATTATTGCGGCAACTTCACTCCACAATTGTTTTATATTAAATATTCATAAGATTATAATAAAGATGTCAGTAGCGATAATACAACCAAAAATAATTTTATTGCCATTATAATTTGTAATGAGTTGCATATGCATTCACTAGGTTCATTTGTATTGTTTTATGGGCAACGATAAACTGTTGCTTTAAATATTTTACGAGGATTCATAAAATACAAGCGCAATACACGCGAATTTCAGTGCAACGTGCTTTGAAACGTAATAGCAAATTAGCATTCTATGAAATGTCAAGATTTGTATTGAATTGAATCAAAACCACACTATATGGTTCACCCACAAACCATCAAGGAAGGGTCTGAAATGTATGAAATTTTAGATTATTACTTAAAATGTCCAAATTCTATTGAATGTTTCATTCGTGGTGTATACAGCGAACGCATCATGTACGCTAGACGTTGCACAACCGGCGCCGGCGCAGAGAAAGCGAGTGACGTCACGACCTCGACACGCTCACCTACTTCGCCCGCTACAACCCACTTCAATACCGGCCCAATGTCAAGCTTTCTCTTGACTAGCGACTATTCCGATTCTATTAGACTTAATGCTGATCTAGACTGAGCTAATCTTGTTATAAAGTCTAGTAAGTTAGACTAGCTAACTCGCAGACAAGTCTAAGTTAAGCAACTCAAGCAATTCTGGACTAAGTACGTACTTTTCTTTTAATTTAAATATAAATTTATAATATTCTTACAGAATGTATACAGTTTGTGTTTCAAGCAGCGTCCCAAGATTGTTTTAGTTATATTGTTCGTATAAGCAGTCTTTGTCATTGCACCACACACATTGTTACATCGACGTTCTCGTCTCATCGCATCGAAACTTGGGTCCAAACGGAGGATGTGCTTTTACGAGCAGCGATAAACTTTTATGGCTCATTACGATAACGTTAGTGTAAAATACGCCGAGGGCAATCGAAAGAACACAAGCACGTCGTTTTGCGAGCTTCGAATTTCTTTGTGTTTTTAACAAATTATAACTTGAAATAGAGTTCATGTAAACAGTACTTCTTTGGTGAGTTATAATTTACAAAATCAACTGCACAGCAATGGTATTCAATGCAATGATGTAGTGTTACAGCCAGCGTGGCGCGCCATAACACTTGAAATAACGCAAGAACATCATTTATATGCAGAGCTGGTATTGTGTTTTCTGACATTAGTTTTCGCCGACGCGGAAATAGATTTTACGAGTGGCGCGACCCCAGTTCCAGTGCCGTGATATATTCGTCGAGGCCATTGAAGCTTATTTCGTCAATGATAGATTATCATGAGAATGTCGTGTAATGAAATATTTACAAGGAATCAGCTGAGCTATCAAGAAATTATCATTTGACAAGCCGACACAGCTGTGAAGTCATATACATGTTGACTAATAGTGAATTTCTATCAGGTTTAATAAGTAAGTGACCGAGTTGGGGACAGTTATGTTGACAGTCATAGTTAGTGCATCATATACTTAATATTCTTAATGAATGATTGTAACCATAACTCGTATTTCGACCTCGACTACGGACGAATTGTTATCATTCCCACGGGATGCAAGTCTCGTGATAATTAAACGATTTCCATATTTTATTGCGGCATCATTATATTATTTATGTAACTGTTCGTTACACATTTAAAAATAAATCATTTATTTATGAGGTGAAAAAGAATCAACTCGATATATAAAAAAAATGAGTAAAGTTTCGGTGCTTTTGATATAACGTTAAATCCCAAGAGAAATTCGGGGATCGAAACGGTTTAAGTTCAAGCGTCGTTTTTATTTCATTGTCTCTGGCATTCATATGAAACTTAACTCAAGCTGTAAATAAAATGTTATGGAATGACTTAAACTAGTGAAACGTCAAGAGAACGTTGGTAACGTCAGCTAGGTATACGCTAGACGTCGATAACTATCAATATATTGGTGACATCCGCTTGGGAGTGCTTTAATAATGCGATTCCTAGACTCGGTCGGAATATAAAATCCTTGGAAATTCCCACTAGACGACGGTCCATGTGTTTACTGCATCTTATGCTCCGGATAGACTATCGAGAAAGGAGATGAAATGATAGGGGGATTCAGCGAAGAAATCACGTCTCCCTTTTATCGGTCCATGCGCTTCAAAATCATCCTCCATATTTCTCGTATCTTAAAACTGAATAAACAAACAAAATCCAAACTGAAATGTCATTTCATTATTCCGTTTAAGGTTATCTTATATGTTCTGAAGCGTCGGATTAATATGACATAAACATTAATCGGGACGTAACACAACATTCATTACAAAACATTTGTCATAAAGATTAAACATTTTAAGCCGAGGTTGTTACACATCTGACCCGTACAGTTTGATTGTCAAACTTACCGAAATGGGAGTCGTTAATCATAAAGTCTTATAAGTATCTCGCCTTACACGAAGCCAAATGATTGCGAAAGATCTCACATGTGAAGTGACACGGTTAAAACTGATCATATCAATAACACTACTATCACGACTTAAAAGAAACTATTATATGTTTCGAACAATCGGTTAAGTAACAATACCTTAAAAGTTCAACATCTAGTGCTACAAGATTCGTCATATAATTTTTAAAAGAAAAATTCAAACAATCATATCATAAATTCATGTAAATAAAACAATTCAAGCGAGATGAAAGTCGTAAGAACTTTGTAGTTTCAATGTCAGAAATTCTTGTATTACTTGAACAGTGAAGCGTAACTTTCACAGCATGCATAATAGTTTTATTATTATTTCATGTTCTATGTTTGTTTGTACGAGCGTGCATAATATAGTTCCATAGTCGTGCATTCCAATATAATCCTATTCACATTTTATCGATAACAAATTGCTGAACGATAAACATGACAGTTTATACATAAAAATATAAAACATTTAAGTTACACCAAACAATAAAAAGACTCAATTTGTTGTTCAAATCAAAAAAGTACAATGATTTGCTTGCAAGATACCAACCAAGCAGTGGGCGTTATATGCACGTTCCATTAAAAAAATCTCATAAAAATAATGAGTAAAGGATTACTCACACACTAAATCCGCAGTTGCCGTTAATTGCAGCAGCATATCTTGATGGTGTCCTTTGTATCTTTTATGGGGATCGTAAATTACCGCCTACTCCGAGGTGCATTTGTTAAGTAGAAATTTAATTACTTATCCAACATAGTACATTGTGGCCCACGCTGACGTTGCGGCTTAAGATATTAGAAATATATCATTCACGACGAATAACAATGTTGAAATCGAAAATACAGAAATATATTGTTATGAAGAAAATATTTACCTCTTGTTGTTTAATAGACGAAGCGAAGTTAATTACGGAGGAAGTTTGTCGAGACGAAAAGGATTTTCGATACGTCGGAATGAATGGAAAATTAAAAAAAATATATAAATATTTTGCGGCTGCTCTAGTTGTTTTGTTCGGGAAACAAAACTCTCGTCAATTTTTAAAAAACTTCACAATACGTTGGCTCACGAGCGCTCCGCGATTCGGAATTTAGTATTCACTAGCTCACTCGTTTTTGACTTCACGTCATCTTTACGACTTGAATTTTGCATACGAATCTGCAATATCCAACACCAGTGCATTCCCTTATCTGGATGATGTTCTCTATTATTACGAAATGTCGGAGCGGGGAGCAAATTTTCCGCACCGTGTAACTTAACTAGCGAAATTCTAATTTAAAAAGCAACTTGTATATACATATGTACCTATTCATATCTATCATGTAGATTTTACATACAGTACATATTCATGATCATCATTAGACTTTCGGTTGAATTTATAAATTATTTTAGGTATAAAACAAAATAATATTAACCTCTAGAAACAACTCTGTATATAAACGTGGCATTGTACATTTTCATAACAAACAAAAACGAGATAACAAATATAAAATCAGGCTCTTTACAATTTAAATTTTAGAATTGAATCATAAAATAATTCTGTCGCTTAAGGCAAAATTCATAGCTTTTATTGTAAGGAAGTTGTAGCGATATATACTCAACGTATTTGAGTATCAAAGCAAATAGAACCATAAAGCAATAAATATTAAAGGAACAAAGGAAAAGTAATATTATTACTGGAATATAAAATGGACTCGTGTCTTCAGTGGAAGGTGCATCTCATGTATCATCATGTATTGTAGTCGTAAAGATGTTTTACCTTTATTGTGATTTGTGTTTAATAGATTTGAACGTAATTTATGTTATATACTTGTCAGATTATCTTTTGAAACTTATTGTTTCTATAAAATTGTTAAAAAATATGATAAAGATCATCAATTAATTATTATCATTTGTATTGTATATTTTTAAGTTTAAACCAATTTTTTTTTGTCTTAAAAGCCACTTTTCTTTCAACTAAACTACATAAACATTTCGTCGTTTTAAAATAAATCCCTAAATTCTATATCATGTTTTATAAAAAAAAACCTGAATGAGTTTTGTGTAACCGATACTCTCAGGCTAATTTTAAATCGAGAATCTGATAAGGATCCAAAATAAACGAAAAACAGAAGAATTCAATTAATGTAATCTGTGAAATAAATGAATGAAATTTGAGATGGCCTTAGTAACAAATTTTTCGTCTTAAGATAGCTAAGTATGTGGTAAATTATATTGATGAATTAAAACAAGTTGTCAGCAATGAAAAGATCAATTGAACAGATCGATTTTACATTATAACATTGCTCTTTAAAAAGGTAACTTTCTCATTTAAGCAAAGTTTCTTAAGATCTCGTTCATACTCATTGGCGTGAAATGTTCATACAGCTATAAGTACAGTGTTTGTTTGCGAGGCCCCGGCTGGCGGTGAGGAGTGTTGTGTCTGGAGTCGGAATATCGATCCGACGCCCTCATTCGGCTCGACTGCGCCTACAAGGGTATAAGACAGCACGAAGCGGCTATACAGGTTAGTCGGGCACATTAATCTAAGGTTTAAAATATTTCGTATAACACCAAAATCACAACATAATTAACGTTTTTTTTATTCCATTGATAAAATGTTGACGTTCCCTGCAAAGTTTACTTCATTGTTTGAAACGGAATATAATTAAATTTTACGTTCTATATGCTTATGAATAAATAAGTTGTACGTAGTAATAAACTTGAGCGCGATATATTTCATGCAAAGGGTTTCCGTCTTTGTCTGTAGGAAGGCCATAAACCATTTGTTAAATTTTCTCGCAAACCTGAAATTGTTACCGAATTAACACGTCCTAAAATTCAAGTTTGTTACGTAGCATTCTCTGCAATTATAGGTAAACCTTTTGTTAAAATGGAACGTATATTTTTCTATAAGACATTGTTTTAACAGACAATTTATAAAGAACTTCATTTAAACTTGAAACTAACTTTATAGCATCTTTTTGAATTCCTGTTATTTTTGTTACTGGAGAAAATTGGCTTTGTGTAAAGCGTGAGAAAGTACCGTCGCTGTTTCGATTTACTCTACCAGTTTAAATCTACTCCTCGTTTCTTATATTCTGTTTGAGTGCAAAGGTCGTCGTTAGCTGGCTAGTTGGTCCGCTTTAAAAGAAGCCCTATCCGTTGGTAAACTAATACGCGGTTGCTATTTGTAGGGTTATAATTTCCAGACACCGTTAGAACGTTCTGCATAAAATATTGAATTGCGATCGAACCCTTATGATAACATTGAAGTTATGTTAAAGATATAAATAGTTAAGACGCATAACTTCAATGAAACAGTTTAACTTTTACGATATTTTCAAGTCTGTAAAGAATCATTAAATATAATTTATAGAAATAAAACATATATACTTAAATAACCTTAAAATATAAATGAATTTTATGAACATTAATCTAATATATGTTAACAACAATGTAGATATAAAACATAATTTACGTATCAGTTGCAAGTAACAATAATTCAAGAAGCTCCGAAGCATGTGAAATAATCCCATAACAAGCAAGATATACTAAACTGATGGTAAAGAAGGAGAATCGGTAGATTATAGCCAGTTTAATACCACATTGAATAATGTGAAAGTATTTTAACGAGCGGTAAATATATTCTAAATAAAACTGCCAACTATTAAATAATGGATATCATAAAAACTAGTCAACAATGTATTTTATATACAATTTTACTGACAAAGAACATTGTAGGTATAATGTAATTTCAGCTTTCAAACTAAGAGTATTATTTTTAGTTTGGCATCGTTTCTAATACATATATTGTATTAATGCATTTTTTTAAAATACTCCATATAGTTAGGATTAAAATCTGTATAAAGTGTTAGTACTGGCTTCAAGCACTGTAGGCGAAAAATGGTTTGAAATAATATAAATTATAATAAAAATGCTAAGGTTATAGCTAAACTAAGGGTAAAGACAAAATAATAAATATACATATTATTATTAGACCTCAATTCCTTTGTAAATCGTTCTTCTTGTATTGCATAACGTATATAATAATTAAATTTGTATATTAAAGAAGTGTGTGAAGAGCATGACACGTTTATAGAATGGGGCTGACCTACCCGTGACCTTTGACCCAGCCTGTAACCTACATCCGAGCTACAATCGATATACGCTGGGCTGGGACGAATTGCTGTAACATTACATAATATACATACCGGGATGAGCCTCGCAAAAATGTTGGGGGATCACGTCTGTAGGTGTACAGAGGTGACCCATCCATGACCTACGACCTACGACCTTACGTACCGAGACGTAGGTCATTGTCTATACATATTCCATTACATATAAACGTTGACGACGACGAAGTCTAATGTAACAATAAAAGAACAAATTGACAAAGGTTATTTTTGGAGTCTTAAATTTCTTATTAAGTTATTTTAAGCCTAAATATAGATACAACTATCGTTTGAAACTATGTAAATAACTGTATGAAATTGAATAATTTTATTGTTATTGATAATCAAATTATCCAGAAGCTTTATAATTTAACGATATTTTCATATTCTCTGCATGACCTGCGTTTACTGTATTGATCAAACACGAACGAAAATGAAGCTGATATTATGGTATTTATGTAATACAAAAAGCGTTTAACAGTTCAAAATAAATAATAACGAACAAGGGAAAACGAAAACCACTAAAAGTGAAATGAATGCCATTTGTAGCTGTCAACATTTTATATTTTACAAAAATAATTTTTACAGAGGCGTCGCTTGAGAAAATAAGCATTGTATTTCTACACGGATAATAAGTCTTTGAATAACAAAAATATGCGATTTTTTTATATTCTTACGATGGTATATTAAATATTTTCTTGATTTTTTATATCACAACATCCTCAAAAACCCGTTGGAAGTATAATTTGATATAACTTATCTTTCAGCCTTTTTTTAAATCAAATATTCTTTTCCCAACACAGTCCTAAAGAGTATTAATGTGTAGTAACGATTATGATTGTAAATTATTAAGATTATTCTCTTTTTCTTTGTTTAATCCTAAGATATAAATATGCTTTTATATAATTTTAAATAACGTCGCTATCAAAGAAGCTATTTGTTCTAACTCCCGGGATATTGTTCAGTGCCTTGATTCTACTAAGCCGGGTCACGCCCAGTGCTCTTGAACTGGATCCGCTTTCAATTTCTAACATCCAGGATACCTACCACGACCTACCCTAACTTTGTACTCTCTTTTAGGTTTTACGCAAAATGTTTTGTTCTAGAAAATGTATACTCTATTTTAGTTATTATTTCAACATGTTTTTATTATTATGTAAAGGTATAATAAATCTCATTCATGCAATATTATTATACTAGCTGCGCCCCGCGGTGTTACCCGCAAATTTCCGGGATGTAAAGTAGCCTATGTGTTATTCCTGGATGTCAGCTTCCTGTATACAACATTTTATCAAAATCGGTTCAGCCGTTTGAGCGTGAAGAAGTAACAAACATACACACACTCACAAACTTTCGCAATTATAATATTAGTAGCATTTATCTGTAATTTATTAATTATAATACTTGTGACATAGAATATATATGTATGGCCTTACCGCTCTTAAGAATATGTCATAATTGTCATACCAACGAAGTTCTTATAAAAAAACAAGTATTATCTCATGGGAGGTAAATAACCTTTTGTTGTTAGTTTTCACGCATCGACACCGGACAATGGGCCCGCCTGTCTGTCAGCCATTATGTCTTGTCACGTTTCACGAATGAGGTTTAATATTAATCTTTATAATGAAATACTGTAGTATTAAAGTACTGTATATAAGGTATAGACTTTGATGCCACACACATTAAATAATTGTTTTTGTAGCTTACGTTATGTCATGTTTTGTTTAGATTGCACGCTCATAATTTATCTTAATTCCATTAGAAATTCGAATGTGATATATTAAAAATCAATGTATGAATAATGTACCATTTAAGGGAAAATATATTTTACAGTAAATTGACAAAGGAGAATATTATATATATCGCAATAAGGAAAGTTTGATTTTACAGAAGATTCTGTTTATAAGGAAATAGTTGAGTCAATCTTTGAATTAAATATTACTCGTTCAGATTATAAATTATATTTATATATATATATATATATATATACTTGAGTGATATATAAATATATGTATATATAATTTCAAAACGCAATATTGCACCAATGTCTTGAAACGCGAACGTGTCGCCCGAGTTGTTTCGCTAATTCGTTGGAGATAACATCGGAATGCATCGCCGTAATAAATTGGACCGCTTTTATTAGAATCGATGAAACGAGAATAAAAAATGGTCGAATACTTTTGTTTTAATTATATCGGAGTTCGGTGTGTGACAATTTTACGATGTTCCTAAAAGGACAATGTTGTATTCTATTTCGGCTGTCTTTTTTAAATTCCAAAAATAAAAATAAAATGTTAAGTGCCTACTTCGATACGGAATCAATTGACTATGTGGAATTAAGAACAAAGGCTATTCTATATTCATTTGTTTTTTATTACATAATACTATTATACGGGTGACTGGTGAATTACTATCGATATTTGAGGACGTGATATTTGACGATCATATATGACAAAATAAAAATTAATATAACATAAATATTAATAAACTTCTAAGTAAAGTTAACCAAAAGTTATGTAATTAATTACGCATCGTATGAATACCCTACAGATTAGGTATACACACACACTCACACAGACGCGGCGGCGGCGTAGTGTTGTATCAGCACGCCGCCGCACGCGTCCACACATGCAACACTTGGAACGTGTCAACACTTTATTTATTTATACGGAAATTTTGTCAAAAATTAAGTACCTATTTTTTTTACATAATTCGAATGAGAATCATGTACCGAGTATGCTCCTTAAATATTGATAGTAATTCACCAGTCACCCTGTATAGTTACAAATAAAACTTAATGTCTCATTGTGTTAAATAAATCCTATAATATTCAGGGCATGTGAGACGATCGTGGCGATTGCATCAATTATAATAACATTCGAACTGACCTTTAACACCTGGACAGTTTTTGAATCTGAATTTCATATGAATTATTATTACGTAATAAGGGTTACCGCTTATGTACGAGTCATGTACCTAAGTCTTATAGAACGTTGAACGAATCTTCTAGAATGTAATATACTGTACATTTAAATTATTTTGACGAAATGTATCGCAATATTTTTTAAGTAATTTATCTTTATATCAACAAATGAGTACACGTTGAGAAAACTTATAGAAACATTTGAAACTCATACAAATTATTAAGCAAGCAACAGCCCGCAAAACTGCTTATAAAATAATTATATATATTGAAATCTGAACTGATTTAATATATATTTTTTATTAATATGTTTACTTCGTCACATAGATGACGTCATTGTTATATAAAAACAAGACAAACTTGATCATAGCAAGACTATTTATAATCGAGAGAAAGTCACGTATATAATTATAAAATAAAGCTTATGGCGGGGTTATTGACTGTCTACTTTCATTTAATAACCGACTCCGGTCTAAAATGTTAATTATGCCATAAACACTGCCGGTTATTTTCTCCAACGCGGACTGCGTTAGACATCTCAACTGTGACTGTATAGTGTAATTGTTGAATAGATGGTAATTAAATATTATAATTCACAAAATGTTCTAATATAATGTATGTACCCTTTTAATCGTAAGTATTGTAAATATTTTGTGGCACTAATTTATTTTGTTCATAATTTTAATCCATATAAAAAGTATTAAGAGTTATTCACATAAATTCCCGTTGGAAATACATAGATTGATTTAGACGTTGCTTACGCATTGATTGCATCAAATTTCAACCTTATTTTAATAATCTAATGTTTGAAATTTCTTTAATAATATAATTTGGAATTAGTATTTGATAGTGACCACAGATATATTTGTACATTCTGATCTCATTTCGCTATCGTATAAGGTCAAGTTATGGGCCTAATGTTTTGTCTAACACATTACAGACGTCTGTAACTCCTAGTTCATATTAAAAACAATATATTTGAATTTAAATAAAAATTGTCACGACCTTGATTGATATATAATACAATTTAACGGAAGTATCTAGGGCGTTCTGATAACATATCTTTTTGGGTTAATAACCTTTAACCGAGTTAAGTATCGTGCAATTTATCGCTCTATGAAAACTATAGAAGCACTAGTCGACTGTCATCTCTTATATTGTTAAGATCAAAGAAAATTTAACTTTAATATAATCATAATAAGAAACAAATTTCATTATCATCTTATGATATATCAAATACTTAAAAAGTATGTTTCCTTTGAGACACATACAATTTACCTATTAAGCTAATAACCGGATTAAATGATTTATAAATCATTGAATATTTGTTCGGTAATTATCAATAAGGTATTGCATTCCATAGTGTTATTGATTGCTTATTAAGTTGTCATGAAGTCGCGTTAATGGGAGCGTTTAATATATATAAGAGGTGTGTAAAATACGGTAATTACTGATCATTATGGTAGTTTTTGCATATCATGTACATATAGCAATAATCTAATAATATAGGATTTATTGAGAATCATGATTTTTATTATAAATTCGCTAGAAATATTCACAAACCTGTTTAATCAGACAAGTACTGGAATTTTTTTAAGGAAACACATTTTCCACCTTATAAAAAAATATTAAATAAAATTACGAAGTCAGTACTTATACCAAGAAAGGTGTCTGTTTGAAAAAATATGTAAATTACTTACCACTGGAGGCGTTTTCCGAGGCGAACAGCGGGGCGGCGTTGTAATCTGAAAGGAAGAAATTGTTGTTAGAAAATTTGTTACACAATCACTGGTTGTGACGTATTTGATAGAAAAACAAGGACTATTGAACTGTTCGTCTGAACATAATTTTGATACAGATTTAGTTACCAATTCATTAGTATGTTTACGATATTAGAAATAGTTGCTTTTGTCATTCCCAATATATCTTCTAAACTAACTTAAGTATAATACAAGATCAAAAGATTTTTTTTATTATATAGACAAAATTAGGACTATGTGCATCATATTTATTTGAAAATCACATAAAAAAGTATATTTAAAAATAATTAAAAAAAATTTAAGTAGTTGCGAATAGGATTCATATAGGTTCATATAATGTAACTTTGAATTATTAATATTATTGATATAACTCCCTTAGATAATAATTAAAAATAAATCAATACACCTTAATCCGTATCATGGCAACACATTAACTCTGACAATGAACCATCCAATAAAATCACTAAGTTATTTTCAGACATTGACACTTCATTTAACGTCAAAGTCACATAATGGTTGAGGATTATAGTCGATCGGCCATATTGTATCATGCATGGCATGGTAAATCTCTGTTTACATATATACATATACATATGTTTAACATGTAAGTATATGTAATGTGATTTGTTTACTATATGGATATATAGTGGTGATAATGTATCGAAGAATTATATGTATATTATGTTTTAAATCAAAATTAAAAGAAACGTATCTTTTAATAAGATAAATTGAAATACTTTTCAGGTGTCATAACCATATGTATATTTTGGAAAACCCGCGAATAATCCCTGACCCAACCTAACGTATTCATTCGGTTTCCCTACTGACCGTACTTCTAACTTAGTAAAACAACCACAGCCGCAACAAAAATACTGTTTAACAAAATAAGTTTTATTTATATAGATATAAGAGCCACGCGTTACGTGAGGCCCGGTATACTGTTTACACCTTATGCATGCATAAATATGCATAGCCCTGTACTGGCACGATCTCATATACTTGTATACAGTATCCCCTTATATAAGTAATACTCCAGGGCTGCCGTATTTTTCAATATGATAATCCAATATTATTTATGATGTTGTTTTAGTAACGATATCACAGGCGTCAGAGGCGTTATGTAAGAGACGCTCTTATCAGTCAATGAACTTACCCAGCTTTCATTCCTTGAGATTGCGGCTAATATTTTAAGATACATTAAGAACACAATAAAGTACAGCGATACAATGACTTCATTGGAAAATATTATAATAGTTACAACTATAAACTAATAATATTTAATTTTCTAAATGTATGCCATGTAATCTATCCGCTCAACAAAGGATTAATGCGGTTTTGTCATAATCCGTGTCCATACTCCTTTATAAGTAATGCGATTTCATAGTACAGGCGTGGGTAGCGACCCTGGATGCGGGGGGGTGATCCTGGGGGGCGGCGGGGGTGATCCCTGACCACGCTCAACTAGGTGGCTCGCTTCCCGACGGCCTATATTTAGCATTGCATTTCACATTTCACTATACTTGGTTATCGAACGGGGTGAACGAAAACGTGCCTCGTGGATATCGACGGGGTTTTACACTGAATGACGAATTAAATTTGGTTTATCCTATTTCAATATTCATATTTATATGGATATTTTCATTTGACCAGACAGGTTATGGTCACACCAAAAACTTATTACTATCTAAATGTGGTATAATTGTATAAAATAATATTCTTCTGTTGAGCTAAATAGAAGCGAATATACGCAGCAGCAGATGTACATATGTTTATAGCTTTATAACATGGTTGCGAAGAACTAAAATTGCAGGTTAAGGTCGTACAATGAGGAGTTGGAAGACTTGGCTTATTATTAGCCGAGGAGATCATTAAGGAGCGATTGTCAAGAGCGCAGCAATCAACTGTGAGAATCAAAGAGAAAATTATGTTTAGACAAAGCAGATTTTATTTATATGTTGCTCCATCAGATATTCGTTAAGTTTGATATGGAATGAACAGTATTTATTCTTATGAACTACCTACAATATGATTAATTGTAAGTTGTTTAAAGAATTTCCTGTCTCTGTAATTCAGTTAACTTCAAGTACGCTATTGACTCGTCAATGTTCAAAAAATTTATTTTATTTTAGTGATCCGTAATTTCTTTAAGTTTCATAGAAATGTTTATAAAACTGCAATTAAATTGTAAGAGGAAAGCGATGCTGCAGATTTTATTTCAGTAAGTTGATAATAAATGCAATAGGAAATAATATTACTGTAATAACTCACACCCAATTAATTAAAGGGTTTTCGCTCTGTATCTGTAATACCCAAAGAAAAATCTTAAGCAACTATTATTTTCGCAAATGCCTCATTTATATAAATAATACAAATTATCATAGGTCGTTATTGGAGCTGCCAATACTAGCTCAAATTCAAAGCAACATTGTGAATTTATATCTGGTTACAAAATTTACACATACGGTATAGACGAAGTGTTGTTCCTTTTGTTTTGGTGTTGCGGTTAAAAGTGATCAGGGTTTGCGGTCACGGCGTGTGGGCGTTGCCACTATAGCACTCCCAGCAATAAGCCATAACAGTTAGGCTCCAAATATATCTTTGAGCGAAGTTCGCATTAACTAAAATAAGCAAACGTTTGCCACGCGTACGCGTTCAATCGAAACCACCAGTTTTATATTCTAGTAAGTTTAACATCTACCAGATGCAGCGATTGTTGAAACCCGTCTGGAACTCTTTTATAGAATTGTATAGTTATAGACGAGAGAAAGCAACATATCGTCCGCGTTGGTTTCACTTGTATTAAGTTTTCTGTGAAAGAGAAATCGAGCGACGCTGCGGAAAACGAAGAAAAAACTCCATAGTAAAAGTAGAAGAAGCATGGCGTGAGTCCGTCCTACGGCAACATAAATCGATAATAGGAAGCCCTCCGACTAGTTCAGCAGTGCGTGCGAGCGACCTAATACACCCACTACGAGCCAGCAATGCGGGCTAAATATACAGACTCGAACGTTCCCGCGGACGATCGCATCAACGGAACTTATGTCGCAACTACCAACGTCCACAATTGCTTGTTCAATGTAAATAACCGGTTTCCATCATCATACTAGCGATAATGCACTTAGTGGCATGCTATTTAGGTTCGTTTTCCTATATCGAGGTGGAGGAAAAAGGCCGTTTTACAGGAGAGCCGTCTCGGTAATAACACAGCTAGGTGCATTCTCGCTGCAATTTCGCTCTCTACAGGGCTGTGTGTTTGTGGCGCGCTGAAGATCAGGGCTAACGATCGGCGCGGCGACGCTCTCTCTCGCACGCGCGGCTCCCCCCCCCCTCCCGGGCTAGTACAGAGCCCCCCCTCGCCCCCATCCCACACCAGCTATAGCCGCGTCTAGCAAAAGAAATGCAACAACTCTATCTGACAGCGACGCGACGCGACGCCAAGAGGCTTTTGTGCGTTTTCTATGTTTATGATTATACCAGAACACGTATAAGGGGCCCTTTGAACACTAGGTACATAATTCTGCGATAGTTTAGTTCTTGTTTCAGTACTTTTTATTGAAGAACGCGTTGTTTACAATGCGTGCGATATTATCAAGAAGCTGCAGCGCTGGTTTTTATTATAATAGCGGGGCTAATGATTCATACAAATTGCGACTAGCTTTAAGATTCTAGATACGAGAGTCTATTTTACACATAGTTTTTTATTCTGTGCTAATGTATCTCGTATACTTATATGAGGTTTGAATTGAGGGCATGTGATGTATTTGGAGAGTTGATCTAATCAGTTATGATCGAAAATTTGAAAGGTTAAATTGATTTGCATGTTTAAATTTAAATTGCAGAAATTATGAAGAGAAAAATTGCTAATTTTTGAAAATAATAAATTCTTACTGAGGAACAATAATAGTTAAATCATTTTCTATATAAATAAGTGAATTTTATGAGTGCTTTTACATATTTGTTATTTCTTTTGACCTAGATAGGAATAGTAATTACAAGATGACTTTTTCGACTGCCATTTCACTACATATATTCCTTTTTTACATTAGTACGAGCACTTTTATTAATGTAACAGGCAACTAGCATTAATTAGTAATATGATAGTTTATATTAAAACATAAATGTTTTACCCACAGACTACCTATATCACAGAGGTATCAAAATAAACAAACGTTGTTGACAGCTCTGAAGACTTACCCATCACATATTTTACGTAATCACTATAGGTGGTACAACGTAATACTATATTTACTCTGTGCACGTGTGGGTTGAATGAGACCCGCCCTTGACCTCACGCATCCTGCCCAAACGGATAGCAACGCCCTCCCCCTCCCCCCAGATCAATACCCACCATATTTATAAGATGAGATAAATTTAACAATCTATTCATATCTCATACTATTTACACATTTCTCTTCTGTCATCTTAGAAGTAACAATATACATTTACAAACTCATTCTTCGTTAGTTTTAATATAAGTTTAATTAAACAAAGCCGTAGTTATTTTTCAATTTGAAACTAATAAAGAAATGTTTTGTAGCAATTTCCTCTTAATTCTAATTAATTGGACGGACTGTTTCGTTGTTGTCGAACGCCGAGTTAATTATATAAAATGAAGCCTATTTGAATTAAGGTTTGATTTTATCTAGCGCTCGATTGGCTGACCAAAGGGAAATGTATTTAGGAGGTCGCAATTATACTATAATTAAACCGTAATTACTATTCTCTTAAAGTGAATTTCTCCATCAAGTTAAATGTATTATTCTAAATAAACACTGAAATCCTTTTTATATTCTACCTTGATCTTAGCTTCTTAACGTTTATGTATTGTATGGGGAATTATTTCCGCTCACAACAGCTACACACAAACACACGCCCGCACACAAACACACATCCACGTAATATAAATGTAGAATAGTGAATGTTGTTACATAACAACGAAAATATTGCCGCATCTATGTCCATGCCGCGATTAGTACGTACTACAATAACATGTTGCACACAAACCCAGCAATGTACGTTACGTATTAAATATTTATCGTTCTTAGTTGAGGTAGGAGGCACGCTAGTTCACAGCGATCGATACCATTCGGTTGCTAAGATGTACGCTTTACACGTGTCACTGTTTTTTTTGTTATGTTAATAATAATATATTCTTATATTTTTATTACTATTTAAATATCGCGCCAATGGTTATCTGATTTATCTTATAAGACAGACAAAGACGTTTTATTTTTGTTATTAGATCAACAGAATTTGTGTCGAAAACTAAACCGATTAAATATTTTCTAATCACAATCCAAAACAAAAACCAGATGTATTTCTTATTGTTGGCAGATCCAAAAGTATTAAAATTGAATTTCAGTATTGTTTTTACATGATTTTTTTAACGTATAATGGTCTGAAATCACCTTGGCCGTATTTCACATCTGCCGCTACAATGGGCAAGTGGGTCGAAGCATTTACCATTGTCAATGCGTTTGCGCAACTCGAGTCTTGAACTATGGAGCTTTGAACGTTTGTGCTTCAATGCACGTTATATTAAACATAACATATTTAATGTATATACTATGTGAGTATCCTCAATCAATGATAGCAATCGATATTTTGATGTAAAAATAATATTGCTTTTATAATCCTGTTCTTGGAATTAGCAGGTATTTTAGGTGAGTTACACACTTAACCTCAAAGCAGTTTTTATTACGTTTATAGGATATTAGGTTGTGATTTTTAATATGAAAAAATAGCTTCATTCGACAGTATAATCATTATTTTTAATTCACCAATAAAACCGTACTTAATAATTTAATAATATAATAACTTTTTTGTTGTTCTGATATAAGATGTTAGTGTGTCCCGGCCTTTATTTGTACAAAGTTCAAACACCCCGATGATAAGAGGTGATGAGGACGAGGAAAACTTTAGCACTATATCCACAGCCTTAAACTTGAAAATTAGTTACACACATAAAGGACAAATAAAAGACTTGTTTGAGTATGAATTGTATAAGAATGACGCCGCGCCATTTCTTACTTCACCAATTATAACAAGCAATGCCATAATAATAATTTTGTTGAAGAGACATCATTTGGCTTGTTAAAAGCGCGGTAAAAAACTCAATTCGCGTCTCACAATACGTACCAGTTTAGTTAAATTTAAAACCTTTTATATTATTTTTTTTATTCGGTCAACGGCCGACTCATTGTGCCAGTTTGACATGATCTTACTTAGGGTTAGATTTAAACTGTATAGAAAAAAACTAATGCCGACATAAAGGATCAATGATGTTGACAAGTACGCACGTGCGAGCACAATGTAACTGGAACGCGTTGTATATTAGAAATAAGACCAGTTTAAAATTAAATAATATCCGTTTGAAGTCAAACGTTGAATATTAACAATTGAAACGCTTTAATAATAGTAAATTTAATATAAATACCGAATCTCGTTTCGACATAGCTTGAATACCGTGGCATGTTAAATCTCTATGGGCGTGATTTGCACAACCCACGCCATCTTTTTTTCACGCTGAACTAGCTCCGTATTTAACAAAGTCATAGTAACAGATAAACAAAAAAGTGTTTATTAATGGGAACTTTAACCCGCGTGTTCCGGTCATAATGACTATAAATCTTTGCTTGTTTGTTTAAAGATTTTCGGTTGCTTTATTAAGCTGAGCTCTACGCTCGTTTTTATACTTTTGGTGTTTAACGCTTTTTGTATCTGGATAGAATAACACATATAATTTTTAATTTATAATACACGATATGCTTCTTGCGAAGCAAATTGGACATGTAATGTTTTAATGTAATTGCTTCGCTGCATCACTTCCGGCGATTTATGAATTAGTAGACGAATACCTACTTCGCAAATAGCGGGTTTGAAATGTACTCCTAGCGAAATATATTTTCACAATACATTATAAGCAAATTTTGTATAATTATTAATTATGTTATACATATAAACATTAATTTGGCCTAGAAATTTTTATTTAAACATATGTTGTAAATTTAACAATAAGAATTAGACGAGTAATTTATTACACTTTCGAATTTGTCAGATACAGTAATTAAGCATTAGTTTTCATTGTCTATTTACCGGCAGTTTCATCGTTTTTATTCGGCTATCATCGGGTATATTCGTGTGAAGAATATTTATGAATGAAAAATATTAAAATTATATTTGTTAAGTTAAAGTAGACTCATACCAAGGCTAGTGACCTAGATATCAATTTTTTTTCAATAATAAATGAAACACAATCATTCCGACACTGAAAAACTAAATCAGAACAATAGTTAGGGTCAGAGCGAGGATATAATGGCATTGTTTTACATATATATTTATAGTTAGAGCACGAGGCAATGTTTGGTCTAGGCATTCGATCGAAAAGAGCGTGTGTTGACCGCGGCGATTCACCTTGAAACCGCACCTCGCTAGCTATAACCCAACCAGTTAAAATACACCAGAACCAGTTCCAAATGTTACCACGGCCATCGACTACACAACTTGACCGTTTAATACAGTTCCATACAATACGAAGACCGGTCTCGTACTGTGGGTGAGCGAGTTGTGGAATGCACACGACTGAGACAGCTTGATTTGAAAGTGCTCGAACGTGTTATCGACTTTTTCTTCGCCTATTCAAACTAACGATTTAAAGAAAAAATATATATCATTACCATAGTTACATAGCAGCCCATAAATAACTATCCTGTTAGGAATTAAGATCCGAACTGATGTTTTTCGTGTATCCAAATGTCTCATAAAACTGGTTTATTAAAACTAAATTGCCCGTAATTATATAGTGTAATTTATTTTGTAATGATACTGAATAATTATCGATTACATAATCGAATTATCATATCCCGTACATAAATACCAGCTCAACTAGTGATCTGGAAGGTAAAAAAATCATGTAATTTATTCAACGTCGAGAAAGAAACTTGAATAATTTTGTCAGGTCCTAGTCGTCATTGGTACTGGATGATGATGAATAACAATGTTCCGAGGAGTTAGATTTGGATCTTTACAGTTGTTTAGAATATGGTTATATACACTGAAGTAGCAGTTGTGGGAACTATTTCGTATTAATTCATTCTTATTATATCATTAACCAATAGTTGTATAGGTTGTAAAAGAAATTTTGACACCTCTAAATTTTGCCACCTCTATTTATTGGTCAACTCATTTTAGGACTTTTTTGCCTACTATGTATTTTATGGATGGTTCAAAATGTTAGTTACGTTTTGATTTTCATGTTTATAACTGTAAAAATTTATAGTAAATCTATCCTTTGTTCTTATGACCAACAATAACAGGATGTTCTTTCTATAATCTATCCTTGATAAAAAATATTCCGCAATTAAAAAAATCTTATAACAAATTTTTCTGAACATTTAGTTAACTTTACAACAAAACGTATAAAAATACAATTATATAAAAGATTTTAGGCATCTCAAACAATTATACTTTATAGGATAACAATTTATAAATTCCGTCAAAGACGCAACTGAGTTTCCAATTTACTATTCATTAATTTCAGAATATCTTTCGTATACTTTGTAAGTATACGTTAAATATGATATTACTAGAAAAGAAACATCAAAACTATGTGTAAATGCACATTCCTCGACCGTCGAGTCAGTGGTAGTAAGAACTAGCCGGACCAGATGTCGGACGCTGTTTTCACATTAATTTATATAATTTTCTCGTTCATCATAATTTTTATAAAGATGTCGTGCGTAAAAATTTAAGACTCGCAGTTTTTAATTAGCAGTGATTCTAATTGGGTACCATTGGATATTTTTTTTAAACACGCAGAATGTGGGTGGTCCCTAACATTTCCTGTTCTTTAAGACATCGAATCATGTATTTTATTGGATGTTGTTGAGGTTCTAACAGGAATAAATTAACTGGATTATATGTCTCGTCATGTTTCCAAGAAAATAATTTTAATATTTATCTCTAATGTTCCTAGCGGTAACAAATGTTTATTGTATTATGTTATATATAATAAAGTAAATATATAATATATAATGAGCCAATTAGATTCAAGTGTCTTTTTTGAATATAAATACATTTTTTATCAAAAATAACAGTGGATCCTAATTGTTTACTTTTATTTATCTGTTATATTTGTTAAGTATTATATCATTCCGGATAATTGAATACGCGGAATTTACGGTTACAGTCAGGTTTTTAATTTGCCGTCTATTTTTATCTTCCATATTAATTACAAGTTAAAATTTATTTCACCTATGTTACTTACATATGTATTATTCGTGTATATAGTTAAAATATTTCCTAGCCTACCCTCAAGGGCTGTTTGACAATGTTACAATTTGTAAGTCTTCCCATCTCGAAGCCGTTAACGGGTCGCCCTAAATCTTACCCAGAAATAACCTGGCGTCCCACTTAAGTTTTGTCCCGCTCGACGCGTGTAAGGCCTGAATAGCCCGGTTTTTTATCTGCGGGCCCGAATTTTAACCTCGTGTGATTGACCGATCGCATTTTAAACCCGTTTGTTTTTAGTGAGTAAGCATCCTCGTAGCAAATACATGTGTTAGAACAATTAACAGGCTAAATGAAAGGGATCTCTAAGAATTAACTTTATTTCATAATTATTATCATTATTACGTAATTTTGTTTTGAAGTTTTTGATAACAATATTATATAATATGTAGTATAATTACTTGTACTACTTGTATTTAATAAATAGACAAACGAGACATGCGTGTTATAAGTATTCTAACAGTATCCACATCAAATTATAACGTCAACTCACTGGTACCAAAACGAGACTCGAACTACCGGTTTTGTAACGCTTAAAACTCTTAAATCCGTACGTATAATATTGAGGTCTATGTGCTAAGTGAAAACTAACAAAATTACCAACAAACCTACAACAGTTAAAACTATACTCTAGACCTGTTCTATCATATGCTGGACGTTTTGGGCATGTCCCCGTTCCCGGTGCCCGGACCCGTTATCTTTAGCGTGTAATGTATGGTAGCCAAATATCTGTGACAACGGGGTGAATGAACGCATGCCACCTGCAATCGCGTCGGCTCTATTGACACAGCAACGCCTCAAGTGATAATGAATGTCGGTGCAATATACTTGAGAATTAATATTAAGTTTTTTTTAAATATAATACATGTTCTAAAACAACCGGTTTGTATGTGGAGGAAAATCACGCTTACGTCACCCAAAGATCGGGTTATGTTCGGAAATGTCTTAAGTTACATTCAACCTTGAAAAATGATTTTTTTTCATGTCTGTCACGTACTTCACAGATACTGTGATAACTATTTAAAATTTAATCACATTAAAATAATAATAATTCTATTATTGAATCATTTTGCACTATCTAGTTATTATTTTCGCCCCAAATATTTCCACATCATTTTGAGTCTGCAAATAAAGTTATTCGCTTTATAAATTTTTAACTATTTTTCAGACAGTTTTAAAGCAGGCCACATATTATAAACTAGGCAACGAAAAAAAATAAAACTCCTATAACATACTTCGCAACACACGTATATGAAGCATTTTCATATAAAGAGCTTATTTGCAGACAGAGCTCGGGTTTCAGGGAAACTATTATTGTAGCATCATACACAATAAGAAGTTCCGGTGGTACGTTCCGTATATACTTTAAAGTCATCTTATTTGTTCCATGTGCAGATTGAGGGCACAGCCTTGTCCTGGATTTAAAAATTGGCACATTTTTTTACTATTCTTTGAATCACGGCCAACATTATAATTTTAACTGGCCACATGAATGTTGGTTGTAAAGGTTCGCTAGAAATTTATTGTACAAGTTGAATGTACTATGATTATGTGTGGTAAATTAAGGGAACCGTTTCGAGTTAAAATAATACATAATTAAACATATAATAGATTTCTATCTTTTTTCTCTGTAAGGTAAATTAAGATGCAATGATCGCTGTTTGTTTTCAAGTTATATGTGAATAACTAACCTTATACATATACAGTCGAGTTATGTTCACATAATTGTTGGCCAGTGATTTAAATCACCGAGCGTGTAATTTTGGTCACATTCGAGACATTACACGAACAATAAAAATTATGGTTACCAACAGCAGAGCTCTGAACGTATAATTTAGCCCTCGTTGATATAAAACCAGCATTACCGCCACGTTTCCATCGTGGATGTCATAATTATATTAATAATGACACTGCAGCTATAAAATTATTCAAATTTATTGGTTTTCTTTTTACAAAACGAGATGTAACATTCTTTTTGGCTTTAATGTTAGAGCAATAACAAAGTCAGTTGAATTAATTATATTTTTTGTACATATTCTTTTTAATTATATACAATTTGTGATAATAAACTGTAAGAATAGTGTATGAGTTAAGGCAGAGTTACGAATCATTATAATCATAATGTCTATAAGTCAACAGTGAACCTGTCAATAGATTACTTTCACATCTTGTCGACTCCAACATGCGTGTTATGTTCAAGACATCTTACGTATTTCAACATTATAAATCTGACAACTGTTAAATCTATTTAATACATATTATCTTAAGGAAAAATATCAATTAAACATGGATGTGCGGTTTGAAAGTCTGGATGTATGCAGCCTGTTATGTAATATTGGTATTATTTCTAATACTAGCTAGTTTATTGGACTTGAGCGCCTCTAATTCAATTTGCACAGCAGCTAACGTTAAGCTGTTTACAGTCGCATGTTGTTGACCTGACTCAGCTAACTTCACAACTTACTTGTTTTGCAACAAAAATATTACACGCGATTATATATGCACATTTACGTATGCACTATATAAGTTAACATCAATTTAGCTTGAATATGGCGTCAGAATCAATAGCTGATGTAAAACACTAATTTATATAATGATTAGTACTTATAAAATAGTACTTATACTAATAAAGATTTATTTCAATGGTGAGTATTAAAATAACGTGCCGGTGTTATCACAGCAGTCGCCGTTTTATATAGGTTATCCACATCGTATGTAAGTAATGTCGGCAAACGACCAATCAATTTCATAACTTTCTTGTCGTAATAAAAATTTATTATTATATAAATTTCACTTAAAAAGTAACTCACTTCTAGTTACTACCTACTTCTCAGACTATAACAATGGCAGTTACAAAATAAACGATCCAAATACATCAATCAGAATGCAACGGAATATAGTAAGTAAGTTTGTCAACAGTGGTGAAATTTGTTTTATAGGCCAAGAGATCAGCTGAGCGTTGGCCGGCACGCGGGTTCGTCGGCGCGTTCGTTGCCGCGCTACGGGGCCGTCTCTGTCGACACACGGACGACACTTTGCTACTTGTATGCTATAAATATTCAGCGAACGCTCTGCCAGCAGCCAGCGCTCTCACCGCGCCGGTATTCCTGATCAAAAGATACCAACCTAGATACAGTTTGGGCTCAATTTTGACGATCCCCCGTCGCACTCGAAGAGAAAAAGATTGTGGTTGGCGCGTGCACTCGCGCTTTTGTCTTATTCATCCATCACTGCACATCCGCACTAATAGGAAAATCACGATATCACTGTCACAGTAGGCGTCCGGTGGGTCCGCTGCAGTCACGGCTTGCACCAGCACCAATCTATCCCCGTTTGTTGTGGCGCGAGGTGAAATCGCCGATAACCGAAACCGAGCCGCGAGGTCGAAGCGACTTCCACGCTCGAAAGCGTGAGAGTCGACGAAGCCTGGACGATAGCAGGTGTGCGGATAAAAGTACAGCGACTGTGTTCGGAGAGTTGTACGAGACGACGCGCGTGACTCGCTGCCGCCGACTGACGGGGCGCGCCGCGACTTACCCGGCCTCACTACCACACGCGCACTCGCGCACACTCACAACTCACGAGTCGCCTCCGCCGCTCGCCGCTCGCCGCACGCCGCACGCCTCGCGCCGCGCGCCATACACCGCCTCGCGTTACATTCGCGCCTCCACGGACGCATTTACCGACAATATTTTCATTTCAAATTTGACTTTAAAATCTTCGTGTCCATCGAAGCGACGCCGACTACTAGCTTGAATTTACTTAAACGTGGCTGTGTGACATACGATGAGACGAGTTACATGCGCAGTGAATGAACACAGAATAACGCGTGCGAAAACATGGAAAGCGCATGCGCTATGTACACTTTCTTATGGTGTTCAAGTCACTTAGTCTATTAATAAGTTTTAGTCATGACAACCGTTTGACAGTATAAACTTAAGATCAGAAACAATTGTCGTAAATATCTCGGCAACGTGTACTATAAATTCTCACAGTAATGTTGTTACTTAATTATAAGTAAAAACTTGTTAGGTAGACTTTATTACTATCATTTTCACTATAAAAAAGTGAGTTGCAGAGCAACAAATAAATGCACGCTCTTAGCCAGAGTAAGGTCATCGGAATGCTTTAGGTGCGATGCTACAAATTGCGCAAATAGATGTTCCAATGAACTCATTTAATAATAGCGGCCGTAGTGAGGGCGTGCAGCGCTCCGTCGACTAGCGAACTAGTCAACTCGACGCATATCGTATACACTATACACTTACCCTACTACATGTGAAACAAACTCAAGGTTGTCAGAACTCGTACGCTATGAAGGCGTCACGCACCGCTCTCACTAAAATCTTACTGAAATCTTGAATGAGAATATTTCATCACGTCATCGACCTATGCAATAATTTCTAGTTACAATTTCGTTATAACGTGTCACTGTTCTTTTATGTTATCTGTATCAAAGAAACTTGTTCATTTCTTACATCGATAATCATACTAAAGCAATATCACTTACTTAGTATTTCAAAGAAAATTTGTTTTAAATAATGGAAACATTTTTAAATTTTGATATCTTTTTCCAAGTAAGCATTCAGTGATTCCAAATTTTTTTGTTACGAAATACTTTTCTAATAAAGTCTATTACATAAAGAAAATTATTTCTTGTAATAAATTCATAATGTTATCGGCATATAAATGTTTATTAGTGTATTGTATAAGGTATTTCAAGGGTGATATACAAAGTGATAACCCTGGTATTGTAAGCTCCTTCAGTATAGGCTTCGGTGACCGCTTAACATCAAGCCTACGCTCGTTTGAACCAAACGTGGTACAAAAAATATGTATATAGCAAAAAAAAATCAAGAACTTTATTACTGACAACGTATATTAACATAACTTGTAGCCACATATCTTTGAAGTTGAAAAACAACACTGTCAGTATTGACAAAAATTACTTGCAAATTTTAAATTTAGTGAAAGCACTAAAATTCATTTTTATTTTTGGTTAATAGTTGTCGGAGTGACAGCTCGGTGACGCTGTAGAGTTATTAATCCGTTGGCGTCACTGACATCAGAATTTCGTAAAGTTTGAGTGACTGTGCTGTCTAATTTATATTATGTTAAAAAATGTCACCTTTTGATTGCCAATTTGGCGTGAAATGCTACAACGAAAATAATTTTAATATTGACACTTAAAAAGTGGCTATATTTTTTATATTAACTGATTAACAGTAATAACCTTTTTTGTCTTTAATTGATTAATGATTACGTAAACATTATTTTTATTAATTCATTGATATTCATTCATTAAGCTAATAGTTTTTATTCAAGATGAAAGTTTGGAACTTCGCTTGAGGTAATTTGTATCTATATTAGACCATGTGTAAAGAACTGATGCTTTTGGTTCTAGTGTCTTGTATGAACGAGACGTAAGATTTGTTCAAACAACACAGCGTTTGTTCATCTGAGGTGGTCGTCCGGGATGACAGTTTGTACTTCCGCCGGCGCCCGAATCATTACCAGAAACACTTAGGGGAGAGCCGGTACGTTCTGCGTTTAATGTTAAGTGTTTCTTATCCATAAATAACCATTTACAAATGATATTCCTATGAACATTTCGCATGACGACGAAAGTTAAGGATAAAATGTAATATGTAAATGCGATTCATTCAGAACTTACCTATAATTAAATTAAGGACTACAGATAATAACTAATTAATTAACATAAATTTTAAGATTTCTTAGATTACCTTAATTGGAATATCGATAAATATAAATTCTGAAAGAGTAATCAAGTTCGTATTTTTGTTTCCTTTACGCCAAAACAAGACTTGATGCCGATTTACAAATGTCCCTTTCAAGTTTAGATTATTTAATTAGAAGTCACCTTTACGAGTAATTTGGTAAAAAATCATTTAGCAGCAAATAAAAACATCGATTTATGTTAAATAAGTAAACATTTTATTATGTATATGTAATTTTCAATATTTATAAAATAACAATAAATGTCACTTTTCAAAAATATATGTTATCCAAACTGGGACTTCTATTTTACAAACTTCGAAACGACACTATATACTTATTTAAAAATATATAAGCGTTAGCGTTAAATCTGCATATAAAAATTGGTATGAATTTTTATAATCAACAGTTTTTTCCATAAAAAATAATCATGATAAATGTTCACAAATAAGTTGAAGTTAAATTAGTTCCAACTACTAGCGAGCTTGGCTGAGCTATCTCTTTAAACATTTAAAACAACTCGTTGCTCAAGAGCTATATGTATTTTCATATCTTAAAAAGGAAAAGAAAGGGATTCCGTGTGGTCTCCTACCGGATAACTTTGGTCAGGCCGTTGAATAGGCTCACACGGGTTTATTATGGGTCTTCAGAGTTACAAAAGACTAGATGAGCTTGAAAACTTCTGTAGCGGGACAATGCAACATAAACCTTTAGGTCTTTTTGTGGGCAGTCCGCAAAACATTTTCTCATTCGTTAACCACGACAACAAACAGTCGTAACAGACTTCAAAAAGTTATTGCCAAGTTAACCGTGCGCTCAAACAAATCAATATTAAAGTCAATTTTCGTTGACATTGTCCGAATCTTATTGAAGTCCAACGCTCCCTTCGCATACACATTCTGACCTCCAAACGTATTATCAGACATATTCGATTAGTATATTGAATTGAGGGGTCAATGCCTGCTTCGAGGATACTGTATTTTGATATTTCATAAACGTGATCATTAAACCACCTTTTTGGGACGGCATTATTCCGACCAATAAATTGGGCCGTTAAGTTATACAAAAGTTTAATAATTAATGTTCTGATAGGGCATGACGATATTTAAATCGTTGTGAGGTTTAATGTGATTATTTATGATGTTTTTATTTTCGGTAATCTTCGTTCTATATCTGGAGAAGGAAATTACGTGTTTTGTATATTATTTGATATAAAAACCTATTACTTACTTCGAGTCTTTCATATAAAATATTTCTCTTAAAAATGTTTCTATCTTATAATTTACTGAAGTCATGAAATTGGTGTCTGATATAACTTTATTACGTTAGAGCAACATATAAACCCAGTTGATAATAGTTCTTCTTTTGTTCTTGTAAGAATTCTTATACATATTATAAATTTTATTATTGCCGAGTCTCGGTGTGCAATTAGCACATTCGAAGGCCAGAGCAACCTTTGATCATGGTCTCCTACATCACACCCACGATGAAACTAAACTGAATTGTTAATCTGTCGTAAATCAATACGCACGAATAAAAACGCACATCGTCTGTATAATTACGAAGGCAGTTGATTTATGCCCCTATATTTATTTAGCGGGCATTGTAGTACACTCATTTTTTATACCAGATAAAGCGATTACAGGCGTAAGTTAAATTTGTCACGGAGTCTCGTTGTTGGGAGTAGTATCTCGAAAGGCATGTGGGTTGTAATCGTTTTTAAATTTGTAATAATTTTGAGGAAGCATTTTTTTATATAGGCTTAGGTCATAAATATCTTGTAATCTACGTGTGAATAAACTGTTGAATAATATATGCATTAATATTTTATTGTTTTTTTATAAAAATAATATTTTTATTATATCTGTAGAGAGGGAAGTGGGACCATATACTTTTTCGATAATTATATTCATAGAATAATTGGAATGGCTGTTGTACGCGCACTCATATCACTTGCGCTTGCGCAAGTAGGATTTCCTTTTTAGACCATTCCTATTTCTATTGGGTCAGTATGCGAGGGTGAATCTAATGTTTCCTATGTGGTTACAAGCGTGCACATGTTTACATGTCTCTTACAAGATTAAAGGATTGGAATGATACAAATTATGTTGTACGTTTTATTTCCATTTCCTTGATAAAGTATGACAAGAAGATATATCTATTTCGTATGAATATCCCTACTAATATTATAAATGTGAAAGTAACTCTGTCTGTCTGTGTTTGTTACTCTTTCACGCCTAAACCACTGAATTGATTTTAATGAAATTTGGTATAGAGATAGAGTTGACCTTGAGAAAGAACATAGGATAGTTTTTAACCCAGACTTTTGAAAGGTTCTCTTGGAAACGCGATATAACCGAACTCCACGCGGGCGAAGCTGCGGGCGGAAAACTAGTTATATATAAAAATGAGCGATGCTTGAAAAAATTGCCGGCGTATAAAGTGACAAGTAATGTTATATTTTTCGTGTATATCGAAAATCGTCCTAAACAGGATGTGGCAGATGCTTCAAATTCTATTAACTTATATACAGCCGATAGAAAGGAAAATTGGTATCGAATTTAATACGAATGCCTGACTTTCGATAACGTATATAAAAACTTTTGAGGCTTTTAATTAGTGTAGGTCGTTAACAGCTTTATATCGGTACGGGAAAAACGATTTGCGGTTACAATCTGCCTCCCCATAATAGATTTCTCTGCCAAATTGCCCATTTGGCACTAATGCGTTCGAATGTCGGTTAATATAAAACGTAAAATAAAAGAAAGGCTATAACATGTAACTCAACCTAAATGTTTGACCTGATTTTGATCCAATGGGATAATGAACCCTGACGTAACATTCTATAGAAAAACACAACCTGAGGAATGCAGTCAGCCTTCTCGAGACTTTTTAAGTTAAATTTTTATCTTCGTATCGTAACGGGAATCGGTCCGAAGGGATCAAACGACGTGGAACACGTATTTTGTGTGATTCAAATTATTTAAACTATGTTACGCTTTAGTTACGCAGATTTTATC